ATTTGACCCCTGTGACCTTGAAAGTAGGTCAAGGTCATTTTCATTCTCAAACTTTGTTGGGCTCTATCCCAGGAAGCCATCAGCCAAATATGAAGATTCTATACCTTTTAGTTCTTTAGAAGAAGTCGTTTGAAGTTTTTGACATATTTGACCCCTGTGACCTTGAAAACAGGTCAAGGTAATTTCGTTCTCAAACTTTGTAGGGCTCCTACCAACGTAGCTTTCAGCCAAATATCATGACTCTAGGCCTGTCCGTTTTTCAGAAGAAGTTGTTTAAAGGAAAAGTTGACGGACGAAGACAGACGGACGATGGACGCCGCGGCAGAAGCTCACTTGGCACTTCGTGCCAGGTGAGCTAAAAAACTTAAAACATTGAAGCACATTATCATTATATGAAAATCCAAAAATATTGAATAATGCAAAATTAATTAATGTTGGTAAATTTAGCCATGGAAAATGTTACAGTATAGTTAGTTTGTGGACCTGGAACATAGCAGTATTACATCAATACTGTATATTTGTATACAGCTAAAGGTACCTGAATAAACAAAAATAACATATCATTATCAATTTGCTTACTCAGGTGTAAAATATTGTAAAGGTACCATTTGGTAAATATCACCGATAACCCACCTTGATTTGTTTGTCCTTGCTCTTTGCCTCATCGTACAGCTCCTGTGAGCCCTCCACTGCACACAACTTATCCTGGTCTCCGTGTAACACGAGGAATGGCCACTCCACCTTAGGCAAGCCTGCCTTAATAACGTCAAAGGCTTTCAGCATTTCAAGACCCCACCTGAAGAAAAAGTCAAAAGGAAAACAAATTCCATATTTATTCTCTTTTAAGTGCTTTTTCCTAGTGATGTACACAGGTAGAAAACATGATCTTAAAGGCCATACCAGTATACATGTGTCAACTTAACGAAATCAAAAGCAACTAATCTTCTATGATATTAAATTTAATGAAAAATTTCTAGAAGAAAAGTTAAAGATCAGTATGCAACTTTGATTTACTAAAGCACACAAAAAAGTCTGTTCATCTGAAAAAATGTTCATGATCAAGATAGTTGAGTTTGTGTGGGTGATAACACTGTGATTTTGGACAAAGTGGTTCATCTGGAAAATATCTATCTGGACTAAAAGAAACTCTTAATTTTAAACAAGAATATTTTCAAAAATATGAGAAATCAAACAGAAAATTGTAGGTGCAAATATAATTATAATGATCCTATTATGCCAAGAAGCACATAAAATTTGTAAATAATAAGATCAGTTTTTGAGATATTTCAACAGTTATTAACACTGAAAACAAAATATATTTGTCATGGGATTAAAAGGGACAAAAAATAAAACAAAATTCCCTTTATTTCTTAATAAACATTTCAGATAGTTTGAACATTTCTCTCCATGGCATTAGTTCTGCTACTTACTTTGCCTTCAGACCATTGTGAAAAACCAGAGGGTCGTCTTCATATTCTTTAACCTGGGGGAAAAAAAACATTTAAAAGATGTACATAACTAAAATGTAATGAAATGTATAGCTTTTTAGACTATCAAGAGCTATTCCATTTTTATTAGGTTTAAATATATACAACCTACAGTATTCAAATAACTGCATGGGCAACCTATAGATATTTCACAGAAATAACAACCCTGTTCATCAGTGGGAATAAAGGGACATCATGTTTTTTCTGGAAAACAGCCAAAAGTAATTTTAGTTGCATCTATTGGTATATTTGAAAACAAAATTCTTGTACTAGAATAAACTGGCCAAAACATTTGCCTCTGTTCCTTATCATACTATGCCAAGTATTGCCTCTGTTCCATATCATATGATGCCAAGTATTGCCTTTGTTCCAGTTATATGTTGCTATAAGTTGTGTAGGTTCCAGGTTGTAGGTTGCTAGAAGTTGTGTAGCTTCCAGGTCGTATGTTGCTAGAAGTTGTGTAGGTCCCAGGTTGTATATATATGTTGCTATAAGTTGTGTAGGTTCCAAGTCGTTGCTATAAGTTGTGTAGGTTCCAGGTCCTATGTTGCTAGAAATTGTGTAGGTTCCAGGTTGTATGTTGCTAGAAGTCGTGTAGGTTACAAGTCGTATGTTGCTAGAAGTCGTATAGGTTCCAGGTTGTATGTTGCTAGAAGCTGTATAGGTTCCAGGTTGTATGTTGCTAGAAGTCGTATAGGTATCAAGTCGTATGTTGCTAGAAGTCGTATAGGTATCAAGTCGTATGTTGCTAGAAGTCGTGTAGGTTACAAGTTGTATGTTGCTAGAAGTCGTATAGGTATCAAGTTGTATGTTGCTAGAAGTCATATAGGTATCAAGTCTTATGTTGCTAGAAGTCGTATAGGTATCAAGTTGTATGTTGCTAGAAGTCGTGTGGGTTACAAGTCGTATGTTGCTAGAAGTCGTGTAGGTTACAAGTCTTATGTTACTAGAAGTCGTATAGGTATCAAGTCGTATGTGACTATAAGTCGTATAGGTATCAAGTCGTATGTTGCTAGACATCGTATAGGTATCAAGTCGTATGTTGCTAGAAGTCTTATAGGTATCAAGTCGTATGTTGCTAGAAGTCGTGTAGGTAACAAGTTGTATGTTGCTAGAAGTCGTATAGGTATCAAGTTGTATGTTGCTAGAAGTCATATAGGTATCAAGTCGTATGTTGCTAGAAGTCGGATAGGTATCAAGTCGTATGGTGCTAGAAGTCGTATAGGTATCAAGTCGTATGTTACTAGAAGTCGTGTAGGTTACAAGTCTTATGTTGCTAGAAGTCGTGTAGGTTACAAGTCGTGTGTTACTAGAAATCATATAGGTTACAAGTCGTATGTTGCTAGAAGTCGTGTAGGTTACAAGTCGTGTGTTACTAGAAATCATATAGGTTACAAGTCGTATGTTGCTAGAAGTCGTGTAGGTTACAAGTCGTATGTTACTAGAAATCATATAGGTTACAAGTCGAATGTTGCTAGAAGTCGTGTAGGTTACAAGTCGTGTGTTACTAGAAATCATATAGGTTACAAGTCGTATGTTGCTAGAAGTCGTGAAGGTTACAAGTCGTATGTTGCTAGAAGTCGTGTAGGTTACGAGTCTTATGTTGCTAGAAGTCGTGTAGGTTACAAGTCGTGTGTTACTAGAAATCATATAGGTTACAAGTCGTATGTTGCTAGAAGTCGTGTAGGTTACGAGTCTTATGTTGCTAGAAGTCGTGTAGGTTACAAGTCGTGTGTTACTAGAAATCATATAGGTTACAAGTCGTATGTTGCTAGAAGTCGTGTAGGTTACGAGTCTTATGTTGCTAGAAGTCGTGTAGGTTACAAGTCGTATGTTGCTGGAAGTCGTGTAGGTTACAAGTCGTATGTTACTAGAAGTCATATAGGTTACAAGTCGTATGTTACTAGCAGTCATATAGGTTACAAGTCGTATGTTGCTAGAAGTCGTGTAGGTTACGAGTCTTATGTTGCTAGAAGTCGTGTAGGTTACAAGTCGTATGTTACTAGAAGTCGTGTAGGTATCAAGTCGTACGAGACAAACAAGCTTTTATGTTGGCCGTCTTTGAAAGTTGATGTCTGAGGGTTTAACATTTTATTTAAATTCATGTGATATCCCTGATATTAAATTGTTTCCAATCTTGTCAATATATATAAATTGAGGTAATCAACTAATTACTTACAGAGGTTCATTCTGTAAACAGTAGTTAAGTACGAACACATATATATAAGGTCCAAATTTTAAACTTTAATAACTTACCACTTCAGGATCTCTTGATAAATCCTTTGTTTTCAGTTTTTCAATACACATTTGTGGGAAAATCCTTGCCACCACTTTACCAGCCATCACCTGATATAAAGATGAATTGAAAATTTTAATCAATAGTATTTGAAACACAACAGAAATAATGCAAAGTTCAGCTAGATTAGGTAAAAAGGCAATGTCCAAACCAAGGGGGTAGATATGCATAGTGTAACATCTGATATTTATGAAAATTTTGATCCTTGATAGACTCAAGATTCAACATGTTCATCTGTAAGAGTCCTGTATATTATACATGTCAGCAGAAGTAAACAGAAAAACTGGTTGGAGTTGTGAACTGATGTATATGCCTCAATGCTCATGGTCACAGTGACTAGAAGACAAGTTTATGGTTGAACCACTTACCGTATATATCTTTTGTCTATAAATGACAGGATTAAACATTCAAACAAATTTTAAAGTTTTTATCATAAAAATGATGTATCTGTACTACTGTTAGATGTTGAATATGGTATACAATGCAAAAAACATTATTACATTATTTTTGTAACGGATGTCACACTTTGCTGCTGTAGAATGTCAATGAAGCACACAAATGGATGCATGCAAAAACCATTACCTTGATTGGTGATATTGCCTCGGGACTTGGTTGGATGGCAGGTCCTATCAATATTACTCCAGTAAAATACTCAGGTTTTGCCATGGCAGACAATACACTGATAGCTCCACCCTGTCATACAACAATGAACACAATGTCTATCTTAGCTGATTATCGCCTTTTGAATGTCATTTTATACACTGTATACTGGGAAACTTTGGCCTAGTCAAATGTTTGCCCTTCACCACCAAAATCTGTATCAGCTCAGTGTTAATTTTGACTTTCAAATGTACTTGCTGTATATATATTGTATATATGTTGTTTACTAAAATTCGCTCTCATGATATTTTTTTCCTGATGAGGACGAAACAAGCAAAAGTTTAACTGCAACAAATATTTCCCAGTATACAGTGTTACAGTATATGCAAAATTTCACTTAATCAGTGATTTTGTAAAAATTTAACTAAAACTACTTTCAAGTTCAGCTGAGGACTCCACATTTTTTTCCAGCATTTTTTACATGAATAGGATAACTTCAAAAATCCTACAACTACTTGGTACAATTAATTTACATACTTGTTTAAGGTAATCTAAAATTATTCTGACAAGTAGCAATGCTCTGTGCTGGTAACTTTGGTTTTTGATTTCATTATTTATAGCAATTGTGTCTCATATTGGAAATTGGAATCATGTATTCCCGAGAGAAACATATGGAACTCCGATATAATATGATATGGCTGGAATCAAAGGCTCCAAAACTCAGTTAACATTGTGTATTTACACAATTTGGAAATTGAGTAAGTTAATTCGAGTTAGACGAACATGATATTACCAACCACAACTTGTTGAGAAATCTCTCTATACTTGCTAGCATTCTTTTTACCAAGATATCGTTTGAGCCTCAATACATCTTACCATTGAGTGTCCAAGGAGAAAAACGGGTGTTTTTTCAGGGAATTTCCCCTTCACTTGATCTATGTGTTGAAAAACGTCTTCCACATACTGATCAAAACTATCAATGTGCGACCTTGGTCCCTCACTCTGGCCATGACCAACTGTAAAATATCAGTGTTACACTATACAGCTATCACATGTGGTCCGTCACTCTGGCCATGACCAACTGTAAAATATCAGTGTTAGACTATATAGCTATATCACATGTGTGGCTAACTGAAACGTCCCCCGCTGGCTGTCACATAGAGAGTATGTTGAATCCCATGTTCAAATGAGACCATGCAACTCATCACAAAACTGCCTGTAAGCATACATTCAATAAGCAAAATTGTATAGGGTGGTTAATCATCAACAAGCAAAATTGTATAGGGTGGTTAATCAAAGAAATTAACTTTCTGAAGAGGTATAAAAATAATCAAAAGATATCAAGATCAATCTACTTACATATTATCTGTATCATAATCTACCCACACATATCTCTATCTCCTTACATAGAGTGTTCAGAAGCAGTTAACATTTTATGATTGATCATCAGTTTCTGACTGGAAATTGTTTTGAAGAAATATATCATGAGATTCTCCAATTTGTTGTTGCAAGTTGTTCAAACAAATAAACAACGAGACCTGTAGTTTATAGTCCTAAGCAGCCATGAGTGGATCCCCCGGACTTTAAAGTAAAATTCAGTGACAATGCTGACAGAACAGGTGGAAATATATCATATATCATATATCAGGATACTTCTACAGCAAACATTCTTAATATTAGTTTCTAGCAGGGAGATAGGCTTGAAATGATGAATCATTCTAGTGATAACATCTCTACAATAATAATTAACTCTCTATAACATCTACACACAGTTATTTGGACTAAAATTAATTAATGAATTCTGCAGTCAATTAATCAGTTTATTGGCCTAAACGACCAATAATCGACAAAGTTGATTAATAGAAACACCACTATTTACCATTTATGCATCTCAAACTAGATGTATCCTAATCTATCTACTTACCATGTATGCAGGTCACCTATCTTAAAAGCATGACATGCATGATACAAACTCTAGAACAAGTATCAAGTCACACACAATAAAAAAAAGCATGTGCATGACGCTTACTCTTGTCATTCCACACATTTTGTAATACAAGTTCTTTTCTGTGAAACTAATGCAGCAGATCATTACAGAAGATTCATGACCTGTATCAACCAATATCAGACTATTTATTTCTTGCACTGCTTAAATCAATAGGCAACCCAGCTCCTGTAACTATTTGTGTAATTGGTTGATTGAGTGCGAGTCATTTTCCTGTGGTTATTGTAATGATGCCTGATTGATTGATTCTAGTTTGGGGTAATTCCTGTATGAATTTCAATATTATTTGCAAGAAAATAATTAACATTACATTTTGAACAGCCATGAGATGATATTAAATGTATCTTTATGAAATGACAATTAGCATGTTGCAAGGATTTTAATTATAAGACGTCTGTCCAGTTTGCATATAATTTTAGTAAAATAATTCATTACCTGAGTGTCCCATGGTAATTTGATATTACATTATTTACCTGTACACTTACCATGATCATGAGCAAACACATAAAAGCCCTTGTTTATGAGAAGTTCTGCAACCTCCTTGTAAAATAAGCAATGTTCAGCAAGGCCATGCACTACTAATACCAAACCCCTGTAAATAAAATGGATTCATTAAACAGTAACTTGACACTACATAAACTGTACATGTTATTGCAGATACTTATACATGTACTAACAGACTATCGACTATATTATGTTGATAGAAAGCTGGAAATCAAGCATTTTTTGAATTTTTTAAAAGTCAGAAGACTTGAAGCCGACACATTCCCTTTCAATCAATGAATCTCCATGCCATGATGTGACAATATATACAATTAAGTTGCTGGGTATTTTCATTTGGGTTTCATTTTGTATATATCAAATGGCATTCATAATTGAGTTACAATGAAATCAAGTATTTGGGGATGGTTCTTACTTAATGTAAAAAGCTGTGCCAAAAAATGTGTTTCTATTAGAGAGAGACAGCAATTTTTAAGAAGTGTAATTAAATTGTAGATTTTTTTTCAGTCAGTATATAAAAGGCTCAGATGTCCATTGATTCATGGGTAATTTTGCACATGATCATTCAGTCGGGTTAGCTGAATCTTACGACCCCTTTGATTTCAACACAGTGATGGCAATTATTGGGCATTATTTGAATACCAGCGAGATGGTTCATACTCCACTTCTGTCATCATAGGTCTGAATTATATATGTCCATGATAAGGGTATGAAACATGAAACAGAGGTCTATTATACAATACTGGATGAGCTTAAGAGAAAGTATCCCTAGCTGATTCAGTAGGAAACAACTGGTATATATAATAAGTAACATATAAGTAGTACTATTTTACAAGGGTTGCATACCATACCACGTAATTATAATCCTCCAGAAAAGAACACGTCCCGAATTTTTCAAGGGAAACACTGTTGTTTGTGAAAGCATTAAACAGAGTATACTATAAATGTTATCAATATTTCCCAGGTCCCTACATGGGTGCCAATGTAACAGTAGTCGATGATCGATCATTATTTTTTTCTATGCCTCCACCAGGGGTCAAACCTACGACATCTGGTTTAGTCTGATGTTTTACTGAATGAACTTAAAAGTGAAATTTGTCAAAGCTTAGTTGATAAGAAACCGGTATTATTTTACCAAAGTGATAGTATGTTTATTGGTGGTTTTAGAAGACCAAATTATGTAAACATAATATTGCTGTAGGCAAATTGCCCAGTCTTAATTCCGAAAAACTCACTCACCAGGAATGCATGAGATGTGCAACCCTGACAGACAGGAAACATTGAAAAAAGCAGATCTAGACTCTGAAAAAGATCTGAGTCACATTCGATAAAAAAAAAAAAAAAAAAAATAGCGTACAAACAACAAATGCAGTTAACAAAGCAACAAAAATTTAGGTTAAAATTTAGGACATTCACTTTCATGAACAGATTATATTTGTAAACAAACACAGACAAAAACAGTGCTGAGTCAGAGACGTCTCTGCCTGGCTGAGTGCAGACTGTAAGAAAGTTTACCTAATTTCCTGATCTTTAGATTCTTCTGTTTCTTTGTCGTCATTCCAATACTTGCAAAACAGTTTCTGTCCCCGAGAATTGCTGATTTTGTGTTCATTGGCTACGTCTCCATTAGTTTGTTTTGGTTGAACATCATCTTCCACATTTGCTGACGACTCCATTTTGTTGTTGTTGTTATTGAAGAGTTCCATAAAAATATCAAAATGGCGGGAAAATTGAATAACAATCTCGTTTACGGAAAGTGCCGACGGTCCCCGATTGCGGTGAAAATTAGTCATGCTCTGCAAGGGAGGGGGGTGAGGGTGGGGGAGGGTATGATCATACATAACTGACGTTATATTACGTCTCTCGTGGTAGTGTTCTGTAGTATAAGCTTATACGTCTCTGGATTATCTAATTATAAGTCCGTGCTCTTACTGGTGTTGGAGTTGTATTTCGGATTTTGAGGTTGTAAAAAATAGAGTTTTTCAGTAAGAATGAATTAAAATATATATTTTATGAAAGGAATTTCATACCTCTTTCAAATATTGTGTATAAACCAAGGACTTCGATAACAATCTAATTTCGTGGTATCATTTCAACAAATTCTATAGAATCTACTGTCCAGAACGACTAATTAACCTAATGTGCCCGATCTTACCTATCAGGGGCGGGTACAGGTTTCAAAAAAAAAAAAAAAAAATATAGAATATACATGCTCCAAGTCAGGAACCGTTACATTAGTACATTTCACAATTATTTTATGTTTTTTAGCCAAAAAAAAGGTCCAATTTTTGTTTAGCCTCGCTCCGCTCGCCGAAAGATTTGATTCTACGCCCCCTCTTTCAAATATCCTAGAAACGCCCCTGCCTATATATATATGTATGTCATGGACGTGTCATCAGCAAATAAACGAGATTCACTAATACATAATCTGCATCCATCGAATTTTTTTATATAAATAAATAATAACAACAGTCTTCACAAGGAACCTTGTGACACTACTCCCGTATCTAAATATTAAATATAATAAATATATAATATATAGTTAACTTCCGTTTAAAATATTAAATGATGAATTGAAATTGTGGTAAACGTGTTAGTTAAATATTTTAACGCTTTATCAACCCCTTAACATTTGGTATACATGTAATAGTCCGAAATAATTGATAAGGCAACATTTTAACATGAGATGTTCAGTTATTTCGAACTATACATGTATGTGCATATATCAGTTGAACGTAGCAATTTTTTTGTAACAATACACTTAAATCAGTGATGGTGTCCCAGAGTCTAAATCACATCAAGGATTTTAAGAAAAAACGAGGAGTCTAATACATTAGCATGGAGACTGCCATATGGGCCCTTTCTCCCAGTTTTCAGAGAAAACACTGTTTAGAAGAGATTTGTTTTTACCAATGTATACTGACCTCACTGTTGATAAGTGTACAAAGTCTCGATAGTCAGAAGGTTCAATACTCCGGAGTTCCGTTAGTCCGAAGGCATGGCAATATAAAGTCTCGATAGTCAGAAGGCCCAATACTCCGGAGTTCCGTTAGTCCGAAGGCGTGACAGTTTAAAGTATTGATAGTCAGAAGGCTCAATAGTCCAAAGTTTCGTTAGTCCGATGGCCTAACAGTCAAATATCTCGATTGTCAGAAGGCTCAGACGTCCGGAGTTACGTTAGTCCGAAGGCCTGACTGTCAAATGTCTCGATTGTCAGGGGGCTCAATCCTCCGGAGTTCCGTTAGTTCGAAGGTCTGGCAGACTTAAGTCTCGATAGTCAGAAGGCTCAATACTCTGGATTGCTGTTAGTCCGAAGGCCTGGCAATCTTAGTATATATAGTCAGATGTATCAGTGGTCCGGAGTTCCGTAAGTCCGAATGCCTGACAGACTAAAGGCTAACTTAGTAATAGTTCAACTAGAGACTCAGAAGTCTGACATGTATACCTTTGTGTTTAATTTTTATATAAAAAAATATTGTTCCTCAAGTTGGGATAGCAAAATCAGTTAAAATTCGATGCATGCGGAAAGTTTAAAGTATAGCGAGAAATGGCTCATATTTTGGATGCTGCCCCAAAAACTTTGCCGATGGTTTATTACAGGTAAGTAGTTTTCACAAACAACAGACACATAGGTCAGAACTGTCGAAACCTATTCGTTAACGGTCAATTACTTTCCTTTCCTGGTGTATGCACTCCGTTCGTATCTATTCTATTACAACAATTCTTATATATGCATGCATCCCGGCATGTACTCCAGGAGTTGAGTTCACTTTCGCTCTCTACACCCCTGGAATATGTCGTTATAGCTGTTGGTGAGACATGGAGACTGTTGAACACATCAAAAGAATCTCGCGGTCGCGTAACGGTAAAATTTACTGGCTTTGAAGTCGGAGACAGGTATCAGTTTAGTCCAATTAAATAGATAGCCGCGTGTTTTCAGTTTTGCTAAGTGAGCGAAACCCATGTAGTATCGGGGATGACATCGCGTGAGTTCTGTCTCTTATATTTTTTCCATATTTCTCGTTTAATATGTATTTTTTAGTTTGACACGTGTTCATCGAAATAACACTGGTAATTCAATGTTAAAACATATTTTGAAAGACCATTAACTGGTATCTCTAATTCGGCTTGGATAATCTAATTCCGTGCTGGCATTATGTGTGTATCAATAATGTAGGCGGAGTCGGTCAAGCCTCGTGTATACGTATCGTATCACGGAATTAGATGTTATCTAAGTTAGTCCGTACTGTAGACAAAAAGAATAGTAACTATATATCTAGTAGGAAATAATTATACAAAAATACTATTGGTGTCGGGTCATGAATAGTATACAATACTTTCTAATGCACATCTGGTCATATAATTTTGCACCAATGTTTTATAATGCCACAGCATATTTCTTGAATTATAAAACTCAAGCTGACAGTACTAACGTCTCTGAGTGTAAACGTCTCTGTGAGCTGCAATGACGTATGGCACGCTTGTTTATGTGATTTATCAAGGGAAAGTATTTTATCCTGAGACGTATCTGGAGATAGGCATTTAAAAGTAAGATAGGTCAGGAATGTCGAAACCTATTTAATGATTGTCACTCACAGACAACGGCAAGTAGGTCATCGGTCACTCACTCTCTGATCAGCTACCCGTATGTAGCATCTGGCTCCTCCTCATTGTTATCAATGCCAATCGACCTTCACATTCAACACGGGACAGGCGCTATGCAAGGGTGAGTTTTATTATGCATGTATTTTAGCTTTAATCATTCAAATGTAGCACATGTTTTCTTGTGAACTTTTGCACTTGTGCTACGGACACATGATTAACCACCTAATTTAATATAAGTCCGCGATGAAATAAAATTTGACTGCAGCATCAACCTTTTGGACAGGTCTAGTCTGGTAACCAGAGCCAGAGGTGACAGCGACAATTTCTGGTTAGGCAAATGACCAACTGATATGCTAGATGTATCATGTTAAGATATATATAGTTAGTATATTGGTGATATGTAATTATGCTTTTAAATGCTACCAAAAAGCACTTCCTTGTGCCTCTGTTGGGACATGGACAATTTAAATGGAATGTCTTGATAAAGTACGAGGTTAATCGAACGGCTATGGGTAAGAGATTGTGCAATCGATCTTAGGCCTACCCTACTTCGGTATATATATATGTGGGTGTGTTGATCATATGACAGTGAACTTTAAAACAAAACTATTTCCGTGTCAGCGTATTTTCCTTCCCCATGTGATATATATACTGACCAAGGTGTATATGTTAGGTGTAACAGTAAAACCAGCAGCAGCAACATAAAGAATGTCTGAAAAACAACCACTCAGTTCTGGGTAAGCTAATTATATTCATAAATGTTAATACATTGTGATAATGAGCTTAACGCTATGTGTATCAAAAGTACACACGTATCAGGCCAGCTAGTGCTACACAGAGACATAATAATAGTTTGTATAGTATATATACGTCTCTGTGCTACAGTGCAGTGCACTTTACTTCATGGTTACCTGATCATGGATGTACTGTTGTCAAATGGACTGAAAACTGTATATTACCAGATCTAGAATAGGAAAGGAATAAATCAAATGGACTGATGTCTCTAGAATTTTAGTAAACATATTATTTTCAAAGCACAGGAAATTAATATATTTTTAATAATTTAACACAGGATGTATAAATTGCATATAGTCTGATACTATCTAGATAAATGATTCTATTCAGGATTAGCTAGAAATATGACCTAAAACAGACTGATTGCTTTTAGAATCTAGAATTTCAGTGAACATATTAATTCCAACACACAAGAAAATCAATAAATGTTTAATAATTTAGTACAAGTTATATAATTTATGAAGATATATGTCCAGACCTTATATATATAATGTTCTGACTTTTTTATTGCTTAAAATTACTTTCATTTAGCTAAAATTCTGAAAAAAATGTAACAGGCAGAAGGACCTATTTTAAGTCTCTGATTTAAATGGACAAATAACTCTTTTGTAAAAAAACACTTTGCACTCTATACATGTACATTTTACAAGGAAAACAATGTCAGTATTTTTACCTACACCTGTGGGGTTTCCAGGAAATCTTCATCTTAGTTCTTGGGATTGGGGGAATGTAACATCTTAAATATTCATGTTATATAAATCATGAGTTGATTAATAATGTTTACATACAATGTACAGATGTATAAGGAGGGAAACACTAGCTTGTAAAGGTTATTGCATGGTTTTCGAGTAACAAGGGATTTATTACACCCGAGCGAAGCGAGGGTGTAATAAGTCCCGAGTGACGAGAAATCATGCAATAACTGGCTTACTGCATGCTTCCCAACTCGAACAAAACAGAAAAGTTGAGTAAAAAATGTTCACCTGGACAATCTTTTTACCTACCCTACACTGCAGATAATTTACATGTACCTATGTGAGTGAGTACTAATCATAACCAGGTAAGATTCTCAATAGCCCAGTCTGAGTGTATCCTTCATAATGGATACAAGTGTTTTTGGATTACTATCCAGGTCCAGTGTCAGGGAAGGTAAGGAGTGTCTGTTCAAAATACGGGAAACAATGTTGAATTTCTGACTACATTTTCAGTTTAATTTTCAAGATGTGGCAAAGGTACAGGATATTGAAACCATTTTCATATATACAATGTAAGGGTTTATCAATCCCTAAGGAATTCCAGTTCTTTCAATGAATGGTATATTTGAATGTGCAATTTTGTATAAAGGAACAGCTCCTTAAGATTATAAACTTTTCCGGGAAATGCTTATCCTCTCACGTGATAAGGAAATCTGTTTGTGTTTTTCAATCATGAAATTACCATTTTTAACTTTCATTTTTTCCCCTTATTTGAAATGTGTCAACTAAGTTACTGTATTGACTTCATCGTTACTCACTGCTTGATTATCTCCCCTTTTTTTCAGCATTTGTGGCCACAGTCCACTAGGCACACCCCCTTTCATGGTCATGTAATCATGATTGGCCTTGAAAGGGGATTATGTGTGCAGTGGACTGTGGTAGCAAGTGATTTATTGCCCACACTTTTCCATTGTGAGAGGTGGGAAGTATGCAGTAAGAAGAGTAATGCTATAAATAACTTCAGTGTGTAGCAGAGCGTGGCTCTGAAGGCGGCTGCGCCCATGCTTTTCTGTGTAGACCTACATTCAATATTATAATTGTATACTGTATACGGTATTGCACAACATGGGAAGTCCAAAACACTTGATGAGTGGAGCTCATTGAAACCTAGGATCATTTGTGGCTTTTGTCAGGCTCAGAGATGTTTAATTCTGATAAGCAGAAGTTACACTACCCAACAGCAGAGGAGGGAAGGTTTGTTTATATACATTGTAGCTGGTTAACAGCTAGTTTCAGCAGTCGAGGTGTAGTACATAACCTTCATTCTTCAAATAGGTCACATCAACATGTTTATCAAATGGGATCTTTTATGTACCGCTAATGATGTAATTAATGCATTGTCAGCCATCTTATACTATAGTGCCATTTTAAAAGGGTTTTCATTACCGGAGCAGACTGCAGACCAATAATTGACTTTTTCTGTCTTGGTTTTTATTTTACCTTTCCTAAGTACGTAAAGTTACAATTTAGTTATTCTTTTGACCTTTGCCCTGTACATGAAAAGCCTTTATCCGATAGCCTCTTATACACTTCCGTAATATCATAGTTTTACAGTAATACCAAAAGTTCCATTTATGTGTGTTTTATAGTTATAATACATCTATCAACTCTCTAGAACATTATGATGGTACATGTGAATTAAAAAGCAACAAAATAGGCAGGGTGGTGGGGGGGGGGGGGACACAGTTTCGAAAGTAATATATTTATCAGTGATGATTCGGTTAACCCTGTTTTTGTATCAAAATGGGGACTGAAATTGAATCTGCAAGTCAGATACACCAATGAATTATTCAGACACCCGTAACATAAGACTTTAACGTTTCTGTTGTAACCATGTATGGCCCTGGTATAAATATCGTAAACAGGGTAGGATTGCACCATGGCCTGCAATCCGTCTGTCAAACCAGTGATGTTTTTTCTCCTCAGTTTTACTGCAGAATGCAGACTGTTTTCCCATTGGAAGCTACAAAATGCCTTATTTTACCAAAATGATTCAAAACTGAGGAATGCATTCCCAATTTCAATACAAATAATGCTATGTTTTCACAAAGGAATATAAGTTGTAAAATTTAGGTAACAAAAACACCGCAAACTATTAGTATGTCTAATTGACCATCAGCTAATCTTGTTTGGATCATAACTTCGCATTAGGTATTCATTTTTTATAGGAAACTTCACAGATAGTTTATCACAACCGATCCACGTCACTTGTGTGTAATATAACTCTCCTTCCTTTGCAGCAATGTTTTTGGTTTGTTTTCGGTATTATTACAAGCTTTGCCGACTTGGTTAACAAAAATCATTTAAAACAGATGATTCAAGTCGGGTCGGATGTTACATCTTTGTAGTTGTTCGTAGGTGAGATCAAATAATAATTTTCAAACAATCACAGGGAAATAGACCAAATTGTCAGGTCTTATCTTATAACTTTGGCGATTTCTTTAAGCTAGTATTCTTTCTATTACAAATTTATTAAATTATTTTAAAATATTATTGAAAGCAAAAACTAATACTACAATGTGTTGTAGGTTTATCTATGAAATTTGAGTTAAATGAAACCACTATAAATTATACTAGTATTTATGGTATTTACATTTTCAATATTTTCTACACAGAAAGTTCAATGATACCATTTACCAGGTGGGTTTTAAACTATTGGGCTGGTAGCTATTATATACAGACTGGTAGCATATCTAAGATGACTAAAATGGGCCTCTTTAGTGTGTATTACTTGTTCATTTTCTACTTGTATGATATATGTGCAATCTCAGGTTCATACTTCTAAGTCAAAAGTCACAAATGGGTCAAAGGTCAATTAATTGTAATGCTTGTCTAGGGTCTGGGGCCCAGGGGGCTATAACCACTGACCTCTGGAGAGACTGATATTGTGAACATTTATACAGTACAGTACAGTATCAACTGGATTTTGTTGATAAAGATGTTCAGATAAACAAGATAAAGAAAGATCCTTGGCTTTTGACTACTTAGTTTACGTATGTGTAATAAATTAAAGTCATCCTTTAAATGACAATTACTGCTCAGGATTAGACACTAACTTTTTTGCAAGGTATTCCACAGGGCTAGTTGAATGGATTATGTACTAGTCCTTTGTCAATGTTAATAGCCCAAGATTTCCTTCAGGAAGCGTTTCAAACAGGAAACATGAACAGTAACTGACTGTAGGGGACATAAAATAACTAGTGCCAGAAAGACATGGCGAAGTGTGAGAAAATTATGATGCAAAAGAGATCTGTATTTAAGGCACTTCTCCAAAAGGAATACCATTATTTTGTAATCTATCTATCAAATGATAGCCCAAACGGACCAGAGTAACATTATAGTTGATTCACTAGTCTTTGCTGAAATGTACAAGTCATTCACTAGACAGGCTAGTGTAAGTGTCCTGCTCAAGAGAAAATAAATCAAAATAACTTGAGGAAAATAAATTCAGTATCCAGATGACATGAATATTTTAGGTCAGCTACACATAGCTGGTAAAATTGGTAAAACACAGGAGAATAAAATTAACTCATTAACCCCTGAAGACACATTTGAACTCCTTCATTTCAAAGGTTGGAATAGTTCATTATGATATTTCAGGGGTGAATGAGTTAAAATAACTCTATGTTATACACCTGCAGACAATATATACCACTTAACAGGATTTGATATCTAATATAAGTGATACTTTCCTATGGTGTCAGACACACAACACTAGTATTTTGTTCATGTGATGTACAAGTGCTTTGTCACTACATACAATTAATATGTAAGTAACCATTGTAAGATCTAGAGGGGCCATCTTTGCAGGAAATCCGGCCTGTGCTAGCTGTCATTGGTTATTTGTCAACGAGATACAGAGCAATTAGTATAAATATTAATTCAGTTCTGGTTTCTTACATTTGCTCTTTAAGGGCTGGTCAGGGATATACGTTTGACATCTCCTGCTTGTATTCCGATATTCTGTCTTATCAAATCTAAGGTAAAATTTATATGTCCATTTTTAGGTCACCTGAGACAAAGTCTGGCGTCTGTCCGTAAACAATTTACATTTTTCGACTTCTTCTGCAAAACCCTGTAACCAATTTCAATGAAATTTTGCAGAAAACTTCCATGGCCAAAGGTCAACCAAAAATGTGAATTAAATGGTCCCCAGCCCACAGGGGCCTAAGGAGCGGGGCCAAAAAGAGTCAATTGACTGAAATTTCAAAACCTCTTCTCAAGATCCAGATATGGTAGATTCAAATACTCTTCATAGATGGAAGGGTCTGAAGGTGCTTTACCAAAATTGTGGTTTCCCCCTGGAGAGGGGGTAAACTTTACTATAGTTTATATAGGGAAATCACATTTTGGACCAACATTTGTTTAATTTCCATTGGAATTAATTCAAACTTGATTAGAATTATCAGCATTGGATAGCAGTTTCATGATATGCACAAATCAGCCCTGACTGACCCCCAGGGGCTGATGGGTGGGGCCAAAAAGGGTTGAATTGGCTGAAATTTCAAAAATCTTCTTCTCAAGACCCAGATATGGTAGAATCTAATACTCTTCATAGCTGGAAGGGTCTTAAGGTGCTTTACGAAAATTGTGAATTTGATGACCCTGGGGTCTCACAATTCCTCCTGGAATGGGGGTAAACTTTATTATAGTTTAATTGTGAGTAATACGGTCCCCAGCCCACAGGGGCCAAAAAGGCCAAAAAGGGTCATTTTGACTACAATTTCAAAACTCTTCTTCTCAAGATCCAGATATGGAAGAATCAAATACTCTCCATAGATGGAAGGGTATTTAAGGTGCTTTACCAAAATTTAGCTTACTGACAGAACCACTATTTGTACATAGTACATATACTACCTAGATCTTTCACACTACTTTTGCATTACATGTAGTTCAAGTTACCTTTGTTACAAAATGATTTCTTTTTCATTTGGCAACATCGATATCATCAGTTTTTACATAAATCACGTGACCATTAAGGCCCATGGGCCTCTTGTTATTAAAAACTATGAAATGAGACCTGTGTATTCTGATGTCCCAATATGTTGTGTTTCACAGTGTCTGATCAGACAGGTTTCACAGTATCTGTGTTTCACAGGAGTCTGCAGGGTTAAAATTTGGCTTTCAGAAATAACAGATGCCTAAATGGACTGCCAATATTTCTTGCCGTCTTGACAAATTACATAGCCTTGCTCAAGTCAGAATTGTTTGTCAGGAAAAGGATCAATCAAAAATAGAATGAAAAATATCTACTGGAATATACTTTCTACTTGTTATAGGTTCAGTTAAAAATATTGACCACTTGTTAATGTTCACCTATCATATGAATGGTGAATTTGCGACCCTATAAAGGCCACATCCCTCAGGGATCTTCTGCTGTATTTTCTAAAATCTTTGAAACATTACGTTATTTTCTCTGTGTGATATTTTTCCTAAAGTCAAGAGGCACAGGACCCTGGTGTAAAGAAATGGAAAAATCACTGTCAAGGATGATAAGTTGGTCAGTTTTTTCAGTATCCTATATAAGGCTTTGTTTGAATTAGCATTGATATTGCATACCATACATAAATTATCAATATGATTATTTTAATTTTCAGTTCCCAACCCAACTACTCTGGAGGGTACCCTGGAGGGCCCCCACCTGGTGGGGCTGCACAATATCCTGGAGGAGGATATCCTGCCCCTCAAGGGGCATATCAAGGGGGACAACCTCAACCACCCCAGGGTGCATATCAGGGGGGAGCACCTCCACAAGGAGCCTACCCTGCAGGTGCAGCACCAGGATACCCAGGAGGTCAGCCTACCCAGGGATATCCACAGCCTGGCCCACCCCAAGGAGGGTACCAGGGTACCCCTCCAGCTGGGGCATACCAAGGGGGAGGAGCGCCACCAGCAGGGGCATACCAAGGGGGAGGGGCGCCACCAGCAGGGGCATACCAAGGGGGAGGGGCGCCACCAGCAGGGGCATACCAAGGAGGTGGGGCGCCACCAGCAGGGGGTAAGATATAAACAAAACTCTATTGATATAAGCCTGTTCAGTTTATTTATTCTTAAGTATAGATGTCACAAATTTAACAAACATTTTACTGTCGTATGAACATGTGCATATTTAATCACCATGTTTTGGCGACCCTCTTTAGAGCTTCATGGTCCTTTCTGTTTAAATTTAAAAATGGAAATGCAAAGGTCTTAATTCACATTATAGTGTTTTATCTACCGTAACTCCATGCAAATCGAATTGGCATCAACAATTACTGCAATATTACCTAATGGTAAATACCTTCTTCATCAGCAAAGGTATGAAATAGTTTCTTGATAACAGTTGTATTTCTGATTAATCTGTTATAAATTGCAAAATGATATCAAATACTAGTTTAAAGAAATCATATCCATCGAACGATAAATTACCAGTTGCATCCTGTTGATGGCGGAGCGGCATAACAATGGTACTTTTATCTTACATGATTGAGAAATATAGGTGCATATGAGATGTAGTAAGAATTTTAACGTTTAGTTTTATAATGATTCGTGTTGTGTCTTCAGCTCCAGGAGCTCCGCCCCAAGGAGGAGGAGCGCCCCAGTACCAGGGCGAGATGCCTGGGGATGATATAGACGACAACCCTAACGCTGCCCCTCAGCAAGCCACAGCCCCACCCCTAGAGAAAATGGACGAAATTAGCGGCTATGGTAATGTGGGATTTAATTCAGGTGAGCGGAATTTGACAACATTTACTTTAGTAAACATGGATTTTGTTTTGAACAATATACTATGCATGATCCCAGTAGCACTATCATTTGGTTTATTATAAGGAACAATGAAAGTTAAGAGAGTTTCAAGAGAAATGTTTGAATGAATTTGTCAGAGAATTTATTTACTTTCACGATAAATAATATACAATATAAAAAATAAAAAATCTTTTTAAAGTGAAAATACACAAAACAAGCTATCTTCGCTGCAGTGCTTAGATATTTAATTTAACCCTGCTACAACTTAATCATTAAATGTTACATTCACACATTAATGAATGGTACCAGTGTACCTTGTGGCTGTTTTGAAATAAATATGGTTACAATTTTGTTTGCCTTGTTATAGTGTTGACTTTTGTTTTAACAGCTGTGCTACCTCCTCCCTCGTATGATGATGCAATGAAGGGGCCACCTCCAGAGCGACAAAATATCTCAAAGTAAGTTTTTTATTGAAATTTAATTCTCTTTGAAAGGAGTATCTGTGAGCTTTAGTGGAACTCTTCTATAAAGAAATTACTGTATATGGCATCCTTGTTGCTGAAGGATTCAATTTTCTTTAGATTGGGGGAGGGGATTGACCCCCCTAGGATGGGTGAGTGGGGCCTTTATGTAGAATAAATATGAATCTGTTAAGAGACTTTTCATCAAGTTGGGCTTGACTATCTGTCCATTTTTGTCGGCACCAACATAAAAATTTTGCGTTTAAGTATAAGTACTTAGTATAAATGCTAGACCAACCAAACTTGGAACATTGATGCATCTTAGGTAGTACATGCATCAAATGCTGGTCCATTGACTTTGTCATCATCTCCATCAACAGTAAGCTTTTGCGTTTAAGTTAGTTTCTCTGATATGTGCATTGATGGTCAAAGTGGGGCACAGGCGAGACATATCAGTGCAAATGGCTTGTTATAATGAATTGTGTTCTTGTCTACAGCGTTCCTACCATCACAGAGCAAGACGCAAGGGAAGCCCTTCTTAAACATGTGGCTGAAAACTGCTGCTATGGAAAAGGAGCTGCAGAAAATTTAAAATATTTGGATCTTAAGTCAACAAGTGCATTTCATGTAAGTCATTACCTATTTAAATTATTCCTGGATCTATCTTTTAATTAATTGAATTATTGTCAAGTAAAAATATTAAAACATTACATGGATTGGGTGAATATTTACGGTTGCTACCGCTAAAAGGAAAACCCTCGTGCAGTAATATTGCAGAAGTATGATTCATTTTGTGTGATAAATGCTTATATGGAATTGTCCTACGCTATCTTGAAAATTGAAACATTTTTTGTGTATTATATATACATTTAACCTATATGCTATATTTCATTCGGAAATTAAAAACTTGAAACATACTAAAATCAAATATTGTGCCATACTTTATACAGATTTAGGGCCATTTGCTTGTTGTACATTTTTTTATACAGAATTTTTGTTCTAAATTTGGGAGCACTAAGAATTGCTTGCAATCTTGTCTCTTGTTGAATATAGGGAGGGTTTTCATTGAGCATTCAAGATAGCAGAATGCATTGAAAAAAATAGCGTTATTAAACTTTTTAATAGGAAACTGGTCTGATGTTTTTCTCACCTATTTGGAATAAAAATCAAGCACACAAAAACAGCTTTTTTCAGTATATTTGACAGAGAAGTAACAGATCCTCCGGTAAACATGTTGACCCAGTTTATTATTCTGCTCTGTAGTTTGGTTTGATAGAATCATCTGGTGATAGATTCATATTGATATCGATGTGTCTACAATTTATACTGAGTTAATTTAGTGATAGAATCATCTGGTGATAGATTCATATTGATATCGATGTGTCTACAATTTATACTGAGTTAATTTAGTGATAGAATCATCTGGTGATAGATTCATATTGATATCGATGTGTCTACAATTTATACTGAGTTAATTTAGTGATAGAATCATCTGGTGATAGATTCATATTGATATCGATGTGTCTACAATTTATACTGAGTTAATTTAGTGATAGAATCATCTGGTGATAGATTCATATTGATATCGATGTGTCTACAATTTATACTGAGTTAATTTAGTGATAGAATCATCTGGTGATAGATTCATATTGATATCGATGTGTCTACAATTTATACTGAGTTAATTTAGTGATAGAATCATCTGGTGATAGATTCATATTGATATCGATGTGTCTACAATTTATACTGAGTTAATTTAGTGATAGAATCATCTGGTGATAGATTCATATTGATATCGATGTGTCTACAATTTATACTGAGTTAATTTAGTGATAGAATCATCTGGTGATAGATTCATATTGATATCGATGTGTCTACAATTTATACTGAGTAAATTTAGTGATGGGCTGATGATCGATTATAATAAAAATTAACCATTAATTATAAAAGAATGAAACTTAATGTATAGTGAACATCTCTGTCTATTGATGCAATAGTAGTGGTCTCAATAATTTGGGTATTCAGTCCCATAAAAGTATAAACCGATTATGCAAACGATCATCGATCAGTTTACTACATCTGATTACAAACCGATTATGGATAATGGTTTTAAACCGATTGCCTATCACAGGAGTTAATGGTTTTAATTGACAGTATACATTGGAAACATTCGGAGAAGGTAGACAAACAGCGTGGGCATACGAACCATATACAGGTGAGTAATACATCCTTGACAGGTGTGCCCTTTGTAACCTGTTAAGTGATAAGCAAACCTGAGTTAAAGAGTACCTTGTTATACTTCGCATTGTTAAAGCCCTCACCACAGATAGAGAATGTCGTAAAAGTAAACACTGCATGTGTCCACCTGACCATTTTGTTCACAGAAATCATTTATAAAATGGTAGTCTTTAGAATTTATGCTTCACATTTGACTGAGTAAAATTTGAACTATAAACAATAGAGACAAAAGACAATGCATATCTTGTCTATATCTATCATGCTATTGTCACAATAATGGTGTTATTCTGTATACAGGCCAGGTGATTGATGGTCCTATGAATGGGGTGGCCCCAGGTCCCTGGGACATGCCTGCCCAGGCCAGTGCCCTGTTTCAGAACCAGAAGGTTGAGGTGGAAGTGCCTCACACAGCGTCTGTCAAGGTCAGTTCTGTATAGAGCTTCAGAAGGTGTCACCAAAAACAAGGTGGACCGCAGCTTTAGAAATAAGAACATTACAAAATAAGTTTGAAATGTTGATGTTGACTAATTATAGGATCATTCTCATATATGTATATAACTTCTGAAAATTTAGAATACTCTTAATATTAAATACATAGATGGCATGTATGAATGAAAATATTTACATGTTAAATATATTTCAATTTTTTTCCAACAAAAATGTTTGTTTTTTTGAAGATTTTAAGTTTATGTTATTTTTCCATTTTTGAAGGCAAACAGAAATCAAAGCTATTTGAATAGCTTTTAGTAAGAAAAATCAAATAATTATTGACTTTTTTCTGTTCAAACTGATTGATAACAGTCCTCTTACAATGAAAGCTACTAATAAAAAAATTCAAATATTTAACGACTTAAAACTGTTATATTACAGCCCTGTCACACCTGCTTCTCGTCCGGATATATCCGCTGTCACCGCTGCTTAGGAAGGGGTAGGGTACGTATCTGGTTTCCTGAAAACATCTAACTATTTGAATTTCAATTTATATAGACAGAATTGTTTTTTCTGTAACCATGGACACGATAACAATACTCAAACTTACACAAAGAATGTGATGACAATTTTGTAACTACTTGGTTCAGAAAGTACAGTGATGCTCCTGTATCATTATGAAACACCAATAAGATATACTTTTTACCTGTTCAGGTGAGATGTACCTGGTGTCATGGAAGTGGACATCGGTCAGTACACAGAAATGGAGAACACCATCGAGAGAGGTGCACTTGGTGTCATGGCAACGGCAGACGCAGGTCAGCAAAATCTCTTTCATTACAATCGTCATGGAAAGCATGAGTGATGATATTCTTATGTTTGAACCAAAAGAAATGCTTAAAAATATCCTGTGAAATCCTTATGGTCCAGCATTTTGATAGTATGTTGTATTGTAGAGATGTATAGACATTAGAATCAAAGGTCAAGTTATGTTGTATTTGAAAGATGTATTCAAGGTCACCGTTACTATTTATAGAAATTTGTCAAAAAAGACACTAATTTGCTATGAAAGACATTGTCTTGTTAAGTTCAAACAGAATTGTATTTGACACGTGGTAATAACATACATGTTATTCCAGTGCGATTGGAAAAGAAGCTAAAAGCTTGTAATAATTCTATCTAGTTTAAGGCGACGTTGTTAAGATTCCATTACTTGATTGTGTGGTAACATAGAATTAATACATTGTGTTAGTTTTATTTAAAACATGTGTGGTATGTATCAATTTTCACAGATGTGATGCGTTTTATGGCTACGGTTCAGTTGACATGTGTGGTATGTATAGTTGCGTATTAATTTTTACAGATGTGATACCTGTTGTGGCTGCGGTTCCGTGACCTGTACTTCCTGTCAGGGCTACAGGCAACTGAAGTGCTACATCAAACTCACCATCATGTGGTAAGAATGAACATATCATTTAAGTTTTCTTCAGTCATCCTTTAATATTACAACATTTAACAAATTATTTTTGGGATAGAATGTGCAGCCAACCATTTTCAGGATTCTCATATTATGGTTAATACTAATATAGAAATCAAATGTCTCGTTTCCTTTTTAAAGGCCAAAATGTCTTGACTTTTGTAGGATATTCTGGTATAATTGGTAAACACATAATACTAAGGGCTAATGTAGCCCATATGCTTCCATCCGGACTAAAAACTATAATAAATATAATTTTAAAAAAAATCATAATAGTTGTTTGAAAATACAGTTTATACATGTATTTGTTTCTATTAGCTGGACAAGGGGTATATAAATTAAAAAAATCTGAAGCACTATCAAGTACAACATTCGGTGACTCCCAACGTCACAACTATTGGAGTACAAATTTAAAGGTTATGAGATCCTATTAGGCCTCCGTTTTCCTTACAACTGTTGTGGTTAAGTTAAAATCCATCCAGACAGTTTGGTTTCTGGAGAAAATTGCAAAATAACGAAATTTCCCAATAATGAAGACAATTTATAATGAAGTTCATCTGTAACTGGGTTAGAATTGACACGGTTATACTACTGTAGGAGTACAAATTAACAAGGTTCTAACAGACATATCACAGTGAGTTGTATATAAAAACTGGACTGATTCCATCCCCAGGACCAACCATGTTGTGGACCATATTGTGGAGAGGACTCCTCTACCAGATCATCTTATTAGAGCAGTGTCGGGACAAACAGCCTTCGAGGAAACTAGCCCACGGGTATGTCACTATGTAGACTTAGTAACCACCAATACCTCAACATTACAATGATTCTCTGAGGCAGTGAGAGACAAAGAAAAGAAACATCATTGATCATCAGTTGTGATAATGGCATTTCATTTGTTGTAATGAGACATAACAAGAAATGTACTGGACAATATTTCAGTCTACAGTAACAATTTTCTCCTTTTCTGAATTTTTGTGAATACATGTATTTACTTTTAAATAATTGATTAAAGAATTAACCTTCACATGTTATCACTATGTATGGTATGGTGTGTACTCATTTTCACGGGTGATAAATTCGCACTGATTACAGAGGGAGAAAAGGGCAAGAGATAAACTGTGGCTTATAACTTTCCAGTATTCCAAATAGAAATAATTGAAGAGGTAAAAGTATTGGATATCATATATGTTTACTACATCCACAGGTCTGGCCCATCCAGCACTTCCCTGATGCCGAGGTCAACGACGCATCCAGGAATCTGATACAACAACAGCAGCACCCAACCGAAAGGATCCTACAACAGGTACACTTCATTGTTTTAATGAAATAATCCATAATACGTCAACTATATGGCATAATGCTTAACCAATGCGGTTAAGACGAATCAAACATATCTGGTACTCCATCTCTACATTCTCTAATTCAATAACATCACAACAGCTGATTTTGATTCATTTTTTTTTTTAAACATTACGACCAAAAACGAAAGGAATAATCATCATTTCTGGTAAATGTCTGCAGAGGATGAACTGAGGCTGATTTTGTGGAAACAGATCATTTGCTTCATTAAATGCATTTCATTTATAACTGATATGACCTGTCACTTTTCTTGAAAGAGAAGTGTTGTAGTGTATAACCTTTTATGTACCAGTCACCAGTAATGTAAACCATCAATACCTATACACACTTAAACTTTATTTCCTCCACAGAGACACCGAGTTAGAATTGTGCCAGTGACCCAGTGTATTTACAAGTGGAAGGACAAAGACTCGGATTACTTTGTGTACGGGTTTGAACACAAGGTGCACGCTCCCGACTACCCGCAACAATGCTGCTGTGGCTGTTCCATCCTCTAAACACACCTGTGCTTCTTCAACAATGATGCTGTGACTGTTTCATACTCAAAACAGCCCTTACAATAATGCTATTGTGGCTGTTCCATCATTTAAGTTTCACTGTACATATTACAACAATATTGCGGTACCTTTTAAGCATCCTTTAGGCACCAGTATGTAGTTGTACAACTATCCTTAACCAATGCTAATGGGGCTGTTCCATCCTCTAAGCGGCCGTTAACACATGTTGCAGTGGCTGTTTAATTCTCAAAGTTTCGTGTACATCTACTCTGTACATGCTGAGACTTTTCTACTCTTTAATCATTCCTGCTGATCATTTCTTTGATAAGACCATGACTCGGTTTTTCTCATTTTCAGAACACCTACATTTTCATGAAATCTACAGACATCTATAGTACATTGCCTTTGTAAACACGGGCAGTTTGTGTTAAATGAATCAATTTCACTGAAGAAAGACGCAGACTAGATGTCTGGAAGGTTTTATCTCGGTACAAGCTCTATGAACAAAGACACTCACCGGATTTTTGGAAGGTTTCGAATTCACAAAAGCTGTATGAACAAAGGTCCTGAATGTAGAAACAAAGACACCAATAGGTTTACATTTCATACAAACTGATATAGTGTAAATTGATCTACGCATGTATGTGCCATATAGTTACATACAAGTATAATCAGATGCTTAATATTGATGTATGTATGTATTGTTCTATATATTATTGTTCTATTTCAACTCATTGCAATGTTCAATTTCTATCATTCAGTTAGAATCAATGTTCAATTTCTATCATTCGGTTAGAATCAATGTTTATTGTAGCACATGTAAGTTTGATTAAGAGTTGCCTTACATGATCTTTCTGATGACCAATTTATTTTACTCTACTATAACTGGATAAAGAACTTTACTTTTTTAATATCATGAAAGAATTTTGTTGTATATACTTTGTAAATTCTTGTAAATTTTGTTATGCTAATTGTTCAACTGTAGAGGCTTTCAAGATGACGGATACTGATGGTCCAGAGTCATGGTTCAGAAGTTAAAATGTCTGTGTGTAACAAATCATGATGTTTTCATTTTACAAACATCTGACACCAAATGAAAACAATTGCTTTTTATCACATTACCCATAATGCACGGGAAAACCATGTCTTCACTGATCACTGTCGCATCTTCAATTTCCTCATCTTAATGTCATGTCAATTGTCGTCAATGCGACGTGACAGTAGTATGACGTCATGGTTATTGTTCCAATTCTGACATCACTGTTGTTGATATTGCATGAAGTCATATGTAAATTTTTATGGTGTTATAACTGCTTAGCACCGAAAGTTGGGTGATAAAATAAAACATCTAAACCCCATCATAATGATGAAATATGATAAAATGCAAAATATTTTATAAAAGTACCATGATTGCATAGTTGATTAGTTCTTGGCCCTTAAGTATACTTTATATCTACTTTGCATAATATTCTTGGTAGTGAATATGTTGTCATCAATTAAAATGTATATGTTCCTTTATTAATTTAAGAAATTACTTTTTCTAGTGCCTTTAACAAATTAAGTGCTCTGTTTAGGATGAGCTTACAAATAATTAAGATAAATGACTCATTTTATATTTTTGCTAATTATAGCATTTATATTAAAGATACATGTACAATTTAGTTATGCATTTTCGCTATTGCACAGAAGTTTTGTAACGTAATTATTTTTCTATATTACGGATGTCCAGTATTACCTTAGTTTTTTAATGCTATTTACGGCAGCAGTTTTGTGATATACAGTTCAATGCAAATAAAGGAAGGACTTTTTTCCTGTGTATTTTCCTATCACTGTTAGCGAGTTCAAAAGCTGCATTTGCATGTCAAGCTGTCAACATTGCATCGTTATTCAAACTGATCAGCTTCAAGACAATTTTGTATGGTACTCGTGTTAGCAAAACTCAGAGTTCCATATAATACATATATTGAAAATGTTGAAATTCAAAACTAAAACTAAAAATATATTTTAAAAAGTCAAGAAAAACAGGAAATGAAAAAATATATTTGTAAATTGCATACAAGAATACTTTGGCTTACAAATCTTTGTCCTCTTCAAAAATCAACTTGTTTTTGTCCTCTTTCATGGCTTCTTCCCTCGAGGTATCTACAGGAGTGTTGCTTCGAGTCGGTAGTCGGTTCCATCCATTGATTAAAATTTCAGTTGATAATGATAATATATTTAGTGCAATGATTTGGCAAATGATTTTGCAGCAGTGCAACAGATGTAAAACACACAATAGTTACGCGAGAATTATTTGTATCAATTTGTTTTTCATATGAATTAGTCTTTTATACAATCAAATCAAAGTGCTCTGTGAATTGTCAGAATTATAAAATGGTATAGTATAGTCAGTCTTGTGGTCCAGAGCGTTTTTAACACATGTTGGCGTCTATGAAATTCAGTTGTTCCCCTCTTGACACACATATTCCGAGGGGTGGAGCAGATATGTGTTTTGAAAACAGAGCTCTTTGATTTGGACCTAATGTGTTGGTCGAGGTAGGGGTTTTACTTCTTGGGTAGTTAGGTTAAATCTTTAATACAACCTTTACTTACAGCTTAAAAAAATAAATTGTATGTTGTTTTTCTGAGGTAGGGTAAATCTTTTATCCGACCTTTACTTACAGCTTAAAAAAATAAATTGTATGTTGTTTTTCTGAGGGAAACGCTTGTAATGCATTTCCTTGCCCAATTTATGTTTGTTAATAAAATTATCGGTACAAAGAGTGCTATGGAGATCACAATCAATGCTAAACAACCATTTCATAAAAAACCTACATGTGTGCTATGTGTATTAGTTTCTGTTATCATGGAAATATAAGATATTTCTATTAAACCTGAACTATTGTAAGGTGTATATTATCAACCTATAGCACAAACATATACGGACCATTGTAAGCAGGGTATTATTATGCAACTGTGTATCTGCCCAACGTCTCTTACACAGGTTTCCATTTTAAATGTCTGTGCATTGCACAACCAACTGCACTTCCCAGAGGGGGATTGTAGCCTGTTCGAATGAAAATCGGTGTCCAATGTATTATATCTATGTTCATGTCTGATATCAGTTTCCTCAAATGTATTATGTATAGTCATGTTGCATTTTTATTTGTGAAAAATTTCATATTTCAAATATCTAAAATTAATGATTTTTGTTATGTTGAAAATTCTGATGTTATGCCGTTATTTAAATAGAACAAGAAAGTATGTATTGACCATGTCTAATAACCTCCCTGTTCGTTTGCTGTATATGGGCGATGTTATGTGATTTCCTTTTCATAGGTAACAGTATATAATGGTCATGTATATTCTGTGTCACTGTTATAATATTGTTTATGGGTAATGGACACTGGCTCAGGAAAGTGATGGTAATAAACTAAATTGAAAAGTAATTAAATCTTTGTTGTTTTCTTTGAATGCAATCAAGTTTGATTGTTCTGCTGCAGAACAATCTACGCCCGTCCCATGACAAACTTCAGATCCTTCTGATGCATTATTGTCTTTATTTTATTGTTTGTTTGTTCTATGGGCTATTAACAGCTATGGTCATTTAAGGACGTGCCAGGTTTCGGTGGTGGAGGAAAGCTCTCGAGTTCCCGGAGAAAAACTACCAACCTACAGTTAGTACCTGGTGACTGCCCCACGTAGGTCCCGAACCCACGACCCAGTGGTGAAGGGCTAGTGGTAGCAGAATGTCAGACACCTTAACCACTTGGCCACCGCAGCCCCTCTTGTTGTATTTAATGTAAATAATTACTCATTGAAGTTGAGAACTATTTCTGGAATGTGGTAAAAGGACAAAACATACTGTACTTGACCCAACTCAAGCTGTTAATGAATCTATATATATATCCTTTATGACCTTAAGATAAATTGAATTGCCTCCCTTCATACATATTTAAAACTGAAAATAGAAATTGTTTTTTAGGTCACCTGAGCTTTAGCTCAAGTGACCTATTGCTATCCGTTTTCGTCCGTTGTCGTCCGTCGTCGTCCGTTAACATTTTACATTTCAAACTTAAAGTCAAGTTCTGCTGGGCCGATTGAACTGAAAGTTGGTAGGAATGATCGCCTCATGGTCCTGACAAAGTGTTGTTATTTTTCGGGTCAATCAGAAATACAATTTGGCTGCCATGGCCGCTATTTTGCTACTAAGTTCTAATAGGCCGATCTCACTTAAAATTGGTCTAGGAATGATCAGCTCATGGTCCTGACAAAGTTAATTTAACATTATACTATTTTTTACTCAAATTGGTACATATTTCAACAACGAAAATAAATATTGTAGGACTCAGGTGACCGTTAAGGCCCATGGGCCTCTTGTTTTTACCAAGGATGGATTCATCTTACACCATTAAAACCATAAAAGGTTTCTATGGTTTATTAATAACCGGCAGATTTCGCTATCCGACAAATTAAAACGTAGCTATTGACCAAATATTGTCAGAATCCTGTCATATTTGATTGAAGTTATTGTGCAGAAACCATCAACTTATCAGAGCACAGTATGCTAATTAATTATGTGCAGATTTTGCTCAACTTCAAACTTAGCCTCAGCCTTTGTATAAATCAACATCAAACATTATTTAAGAAAGTCATCATGTAGAAAATAGACTTTGGAAATTGGACAATCAGTGCACAGTTTGCTAAATTAATGAAGCATAGGTTTTGCTCAACTTCAAACTTCGACTCAGCCTTTGTACATGCAGTTTCATCAAAATTGAATGATATTTAAGCAATTTATCTTACAGAAACCAAAATGTTGACATAAAAATCAGAAAATATTGTATTGATGTACATCCAGGATGATCCTTGATTTACGCTTGTCTTTTGTGCAGGTTTTTTATTTCCATAATAATTTCAGCTTCTATGGGTCAAACTCGTATGGGGAATTTTACCCAAAGCACTTGGTCAAAGTCACTTATAACCCGAAGCTTTATATAGGACTTATCCACTTCCTTATCTAGACGCTTCTTCATATGGTTAGGGTCAGGGTTTTTAAGGTGCTGTTATCGATTAGAACATAAATTGTTAGTTTGAGTTGTTGGGTTTTATCATTGTCAGTGGGTTAAGACAAGATAGTTACCTGAAGAACAATGTAACACAAGTAAATATACTCTCAACTTTACTTCATAAGGTTTTTCCACAAATAAACTTTTGCTCTTTTTTCCTGTCAACACATCACACATTTAAATAAATGTTTATAGACAAAATTCCAGCACTAGTTGAATGTGTTAACTTTCTAGTAGTTTCTCTGCTGCTGATCCTCCATTTGCACAGAAATTATCACACTACTTCGAAGTGGTAGACTAAACACAATTAAAATCATTGAAGATACGTTGGTACTGGTTTACTGTCGTTAAAGAGCAGCGGCACCCGAGATGATTTCAATGAGTTCCCTGGTGATGACAGCCTGTCTAGTTCTGTTGAAGGTCAGGGTCAGTTTATCGATCATTTCACCTGCACAGAAAAATAGAGGTAACAATTACAGATGGACTTCACAACAAACTGGGGGATATAAGTTCAATGAAATTAGCAATCATGCCAACCAGATTTATTCACACTTTGACTAACCAGATTTATTCACATTTTGACTAACCTGAAAGATTTTGTGGATATATCAGAAATAATATTACTCCAAACCTAGGAGCTGCATGACATAGGTTTTCAATTTAAGACAAGGGTGCATGATAAATCTGGCAAGATTCTGTCATCTTACATCATGAATGGGATAGCATCAAACGACTTTCGTAACAATACACATAATGGGTTATGGCAACAAGACACAAGACACTGCTCTCCAGATTTATAGGTATTCTTTTATTATTTAAAAACAAAGTTTTGAAATAAACTAGAAATTTAACTTGATCGATAATTAATATAACATTTTGAGATATGGGATAAGAACAATCTTTATGCGGGAATATTTCACCCTCATTATTATAAGTGTGTACATTAGGATAATGAATTCTCTGTTGTAATACTCATATACCACATACATACATATTAAACTACAAATGAGTTATCCTTAAGGTAGAGGGTCCCACTGCTTCAGTTATTACCATGAGGAAGATTTCCACTTTGGTTATTTTGACATGGAGTAATCTACTATTATAAAAAGATTAACCCTTTCACCCCTATGCAACTTTAGTGGACTCTACCATGCTTTGATCTGGACGAGTCCATATGGTCTGCAGTGGTGAAAGGGTTAAGTAACCAAAAGGAATTTTAAAGTAACTTTCCCCGTCAAGTTATGTTTATTATTGAATACTTCTTCCGAAAAGGACTTGAAGTAATATTTTACAATAGCGACTATGGTAATTATAAAGTTTAAATTGTTGCTACCCTTTACCTTAAGCTCTCTGGAGTTTTAACTCAGGCGAACTAAGTAATTCATTTTAGTTAGAATTTTGGACTCTACTTCTCCAACCATTGATTTATCAGTACTTTTCAAAGACCCGTTATGTTTTAACTCAACCTTCTGAGCAAGGAATTCTAATGGGTTTTAGGGTTTTTAAGAGACATTTGATATTTTACACAAAATATGATTTACAAAGTGAAAGACCAGACAGGTAGGGTTGGGAATCCTGAAGCTCCCCTCAAACATCTTCCAATGACACCGTATCACAACATTCATACACACCTGCGTTTTTGCTGGCAGCGTCCATGGCCGTCATCCTGGAGCTCTGTTCACTACAGGCAGATTCCTTCAATCCGTAATAGATTAAATTAGCCATGGAAAACTCGTTGTAACAGGCCAGGGTTGTCTGATCCAGACTGTCATACAAGGAGATGTTTTTCGCATTAGCTACTGTATCGGCTGTAAATAATGGTAGCTCTGATGTCTTGTAGGAAACAACCGTTCTGAAATACAAAACCAGCAAAATACAAAATCTTCAACAGATAAAAGAGTGAATAGATCTGCAGAGAACTAGAGGACCAATGGGCCTGTTTCGCTTGCCTGTTATTCAATGTTGTTCATAAACACATCTCACATTCATGACTATAAAGTGGGTCAAGAACTAATTTATCTTTAACAAATTTGATAGCAGGCAAGTTAACCTGAAATGCCCCAAGATTTAACTTCAGGGGCTTTCAAAGTTTGTCACAGTCATATATTTGAACAACAGTTTTATTATCCCAGCAAGGTACAGGACAAATATCACTTTTTCAGGTCTTGGGGACCTCCACAGTTTACACCTGTTACCATGAAAGGTCACTTAATCTTTCTTAATTATAATTATATAGAATACTTCGATAAATTGACCTTAGGTTTAAGATTGTACTGGTGATGTGTGTAATTATTGCATTACATTCAATATATATAGGATCTTAAATGAGTTTTCATTTCATATGAGATTTGATGAAACAAGTCTTAGGAGTCTGCGAGACGAATTTCATAAAAGCTCATATGAAATGAAAACAAATTTAAGATAGTTTTTATCACATAATTCGGAAAACTTACATTTTGACAGGTTTTAAAGCCAAAATGTACAGGGCTTAATCAAACGGAAACAGCCATTTTGTTGCGCCATTCACAATTCATGACGTCACGTCATTGTCCATATTATGACGCCACTATCGATTTCTGACTGGCACAGCCAATGAAAAACGCTCCAGGGTATATTACACTAGTGACATATGTAAAAATATTACACGGGCGAATTCACTGGATAACAGGCCGATTATGTGATAAATTGTTTATATGTTTCACAGTGTCTCTACTTGGCCGTGTAAGATGATATGGTGTGCGAATATTGAGGAAAAGATTAAGTCTTACTTGAAAGTGTTGTAATACATATTGGCTACATCAAATTTGAATCCGGAGTCCAGGATGGATTGAGCTACTGTAGCAGCATCTTTAAAAACGGGTGGTGTCTTTCCAATATCATTAAATGACAGCAACATGTTGTTAGCAAAAGGCCTGTAAAAGTAAGTGTATAAATTGCCATACAATAATCATAATGTTGAAATCCTTATATAAAGTATACTTAATAGAATTTACTTGGAAACTATTACTTTTGAAAGAACAATTTTTTTTTTTTCATTGCAGATTGCTGTTAAAAAAGTAGCTGACGATGTCAAGGAGTTATACTGCTTTTTGTCGATTTTTTCAATCATGCAATCCAACAGTTAACAATATTCATCCAATATTCAGTTCCAGAATCAATGATAAACATTTTTTATTTCATAAATCAATATGTGGTACAGATCCAGGACAGAGATTACCAAACATCCCCAGTTATATTTGATAGCATTTTTAGATACTAACATCCCCAGGTATATTTGACAACATTTTTAGATACTAACATCCCCAGTTATATTTGATAACATTTTAGATACTAACATCCCCAGGTATATTTGATAACATTTTAGATACTAACATCCCCAGTTATATTTGTTAACATTTTAGATACTAACATCCCCAGTTATATTTGATAACGTTTTCAGGTATTAACACCCCAGTTATATTTGAAAACATTTTTAGATACTAACATCCCCATTTATATTTGATAACATTTTAGATACTAACATCCCCAGTTACATTTGATAACATTTTAGATACTAACATCCCCAGTTATATTTGATAACATTTTCAGGTATTAACTCCTGAGGGTTATAATAGGTAGTATTTTCAGGTATTAAATCCTGAGGGTTATAATAGGTAGTATTTTCAGGTATTAACTCCTGAGGGTTATAATAGGTAGTATTTTCAAGTATAAACTCCCCAGTTATCTTTTATGATATTTTCAGTTACTAGCTTCTTGGAGCATATATTTAATGACATTTTCATGTATTAACTCCACAGTTATATATACAAAAAAAGTTGCCTTTCAATACTAACATCCCCAGTTATATTTGATAGCATTTTTCAATGTATTAAATGTATTGACTCCACACTTATATATACACAAAAAAAGTTGCCTTTCAATGTTAAAATCAGGATATTTTATCGGTTTTTATCTATCATAAAAGAAAACTTGTAAATTACTTCAAGAGAATTCTTACACATATCTATGTTCTATTTTATAAATAACTTCTTCCATTATTGCTTTATAATCAATCAAATTTTCTCCAGTATATTTCACTACAGTAGAGAAAAAAAAAATTATACAGTTAACTTAGTATTTAGATTGGCAATTAGGTTCTGGGACGAAACAAATATAGCGAATATATCATGAAAAAAATAAAACTTTTGTCTTGAGAATCTCTACAGCATACTTAAGATTATAAGGTACACCTACTTATGAAGAATGGCCTTAGCCTTATCTCCCACCAGCACAAGCTTGGCATCTTTAGCAACACTTGCATCACCCATTTTTGTCCTGATGGTCTTAGCAATGCTTGAGTGACAAGCACCACACAGTCCTCTGTCTGATGTCAAGGCCAAGAAGACCTGAGCGTTACCACCTTCTGGAACTGTTACTTCAGCATGTTCATAGAAAGCTAGAAAAATTGAACAAAACATTTTCATTTCTACTTGTTGAAAATAGGGTTTCATTATGTATTTGAACGTTCAGTAAAAGTAACAAGTGTAATACAAACACAAAACCCTGGAAAATTTGATCATTCTTCCTTTTAAAGCAATTTTTACCATCCTAAATTCATATGCTTTTTTTCCAAGTACCGGTACAATATTTTAAGATGAATCAGTGATGTTTACAGAACAGGTACTCATTTGTTTTTAAGCAAATTTAATTTTCCTAAATGTTCAATACCAATGTACTAACTTTTTGCTCCGTGTCCATACACCCTGGCTGGTTTAAGTTCTCTTTCTGCTTTTGCAAACTTAGCAGCTGACACCATCTTCATAGACTTTGTGATCTTCTGGATGTTCGTGATCGACTTCAAACGTAATCGAACTGAAAATGAAATGCAATTCTTATAAAGGATTTAATGTGGTTATAGTACCTTCAGTGTTTCATTTATGTACATATCCGCGTAAACTTATCCATTTAGAAAGCACCACTACCACACTACAGGAATATTCTGGAGGGTCAGTCAGACGGTAACAGGTCATCTCGACACTTGGAGAGTTCGGCACTTACAGTTCAAGACACCTCAGCACTTTTTCGGGTCACCTCAGCATTTTTACTGGGTCACCTCAGCATTTTCACTGGGACACCTCAGCACTTTTTCGGGTCACCGCAGCATTTTCACTGGGACACCTCAGCACTTTTTCGGGTCGCCTCAGCATTTTCACTGCGACACCTCAGCACTTTTTCGGGTCACCTCAGCATTTTCACTGGGACACCTCAGCATTTTCACTGGGACACCTCAGCACTTATCAGTATTTTTTCGGTAATATTCATGTTATATACATCACGATAAACTTGGAAAATTTTATTTAATGTCCATGTTATATAAATATACGTCACGATATCCTTAGAAAACTTTATTTAATGATTATAATTATATGTAACATCTTTACGGGCCATTATTCATTGTTAATATGCTATCTTTATGGCCCGTTTTTCTGATTATAATTTCAAAATGAAATAAAAACAAGCTTAGTAGTTATAATGCTTCCATGCCTCTGTGACAAACAATAAATTATAACTTATAGTTAAGTGTTGTGTAAATATGTGTACAGTCAGGCCTTCCAGACAAAAAAATCTAACAAGGGTTTGCAATAAGTCAATGAAGTATAGTTTCTTTAAATATTGTTGATGAATTATTGTGATGCAGGGATCAACACCAAAACTAGTCCGCTAGTCCTGGACTAGTAGATTTAAGCAAGGACTAGTGACTCACCTAACCTAACTGGTCCTTTAGACTTGTGAAAAATATGATTATAAAATAAAAACATTCCCTTTGAAAATTTAGAAAACCGTTCAAAATAAGATATATTGCATGATAATTGTCAAAATTTTCCTCAAACTTCACCACATATTAAGTCCCCTCCAGTCGATAACTTTTGATGTTCTGTGCAGTAGTTCGTGATGTTTCCTTATCAGGCAATCTTGGACTAGTTACATTGATGAAGGACTAGTAAATAATTTATTCAACTTGTCCTGTCGACGACCAAGCCAAAAAAGTAAGTGTCTTACCAATACCCTGGTTATGTGATTAATTTTCATCCGCTTATATAATTACTACAGGAAATATGATGGTGGTCGGATTCCACAAATGACATACCAGTTTCAACACGTTATTCCCCTTTGAACATATTATCACAAATTACGATAACACTAAATACCAACTAAAGATTCAGGGATATCAGATTCAACAACTTTTAAAAACATTAGAACTGGATTCTGGAAATGATTAAGTACCGACTTGTCTTCAAAAAGTGTCAAGGTAACCAAGTTCCTAAAATAAAAGTGCCAAGGTAACCAAGTGCCGAAAATATAAGTGCCAAGACAGTGTCCAAGTACCGACTTCACCAGGTGTCAAGGTGCCAGACACTGGGACGGATGCCCTGGGCACAAATTTTAGCAAAAATGGTATAATATTGTAATATGTTGTTTTCACAAGATACAAGTTTACTGCATATATACGTCTGGTGTTACTGTAAATGTGTATCAGTAGCAATCCATTTTCGTTGGGAGTGAAAGGTTGGTAACTTTGAATGGAAAATGATGAAATTTTCAAAACGTCTTTCGGGATATCGCCGGACTACTCACTAGTCTGACACACAGACAAGAACCAAACACCAGTATTTAACAGGTGTCAGATTATCAGTGTTTATCGTTTGTACATATGCCCCCTATCACAAGAAATGTATAACACCCAGTCAAATCGGAGAGAAAAAAAGGGTTCTTAAAAAAACATTGCTTATGCTCTGACCATTGTATCTTTCTCTAATGTTATATATGTTTGTAACACATATTTTGAAAAAAAGAAATGTACTTACTTTCCTTCAATGTCGCCATTCCACGCACTTGCGTGCTAAAAAAGAAAGCATCTCACAGTTGAATGATATAGTATATAGTTTGCAAATGATAGTATCTTCTCTTCTTGTCAATAAATAATTGTCTTCTGAAATTGCTTAATGTCAATTGTCAACTAAAAGCTTTTGTATGTAAAAGTATTTTAACATGGTCCTACTTCTATAACATAAAAGGCCGCTGGTCAGCCTTTTTTCTTACAGATATGATTTTGCCAATTGCGACCTGTCAAAAGTATCTTGCCGTGTGAACTTCTAACACTGTTGGAGTAACATGGTCCCTGAGGTAATGGGTTGTTTCGCACTAAATCTGTTTGCCCTTAAATCTTATTTTTTAAATTTATACACTAATCAGGTTAGGGAAAACCACCAACTTGCGTATAATACGCAAACTCGCCTATTATACGGGGTTCAGTTGTTTCGGTACTTGGTAGTTTCGGTACTTCAAAAAGAAGATGTTTCGGTACTTTATGTAAGTCGTTTCGGTACCTATATTTAAGTTGTTTCGGTACTATTATTATTATTAATTAAACATGTTATATATATGTCCTGCTATACTTAGAAATTATTAATTAAACATGTTATATATATGTCCCGCTATACTTAGCTATTTATTTTGTTGAAATATGAATTAAACATGTTATTAAATGTAAAAAACAAGCAAAGACCACTTCAGAAAATCTATTAAAGAAAGATATTGGAAACATGAGCAAATTAAAATAACAAACTGATACAAACATGTGTATTATAGCATAAGTTTGACTCCACACTTAAGAGTTACTTCCCTTGAAGGTATACAGCACGCAAAAAGTGGTGACGTTGACTATAACTTGGTACCAAAATGTGTTTCCCATAAGTACCAAAACGATTTCCATAAGTACCGAAACGACTTTCAGAAGTACCGAAATGACTTTCAGAAGAACCGAAACGACTTTCAGAAATACCGAAATGACTTTCAGAAGAACCGAAACGACTTTCAGAAATACCAAAACGACTTTCAGAAGTACCGAAACGACCGGGTACCTAAACGACCTGAATTCTATTATACGCCAGTTGGAGTATGAATTTGTTACTAAAAATAACCCAGATCGCTTTAACAGTAACTTTTGCAAGATATTATTAAAAATCGCATTAATGTACGACAAGGTAAATAATATTTTGCTAAAAGATGTTTACTGAAAGCGTTGGCTACTTAGAAACTTGATGTAACTTTACCGGAAGTATTGCATCTATTTTTTGTACTTTCCCACATGCAAATAAAGTTTATTTTTGCATTAGTATTATGTTTCATGACTGAATAAATGCGACTTGGACAAACAATTTGAAAAAGTTAAGATTAAAGTTATTTTGGCTATTTTTTAGTAACAAATCCATACCCTATCGGCGTATAATAGGCAAGTTGGCATATTATACGCAAGTTAGTGGTTTTCCAAGACCTGGTAATACAATAATTATTATTCAAATATATCAACTAAACTTATTGATAACTTTCTACATTGGTGTTAGGTATATTTCATGTAGAGAAATATGCAACTGTGTGATTGCAGATTCATCTTTTCACAGCTGCTGTTTGTCCCATTTGGTTGTGCCGACCAGATCATCAAGGAATTATTAATTTAATAAGTCGGGGAAACGACTGCTGGTCTGCAATATTTGATAACAACAGTGTGTAAAATATATATGTTTCATATCCCTACGTATGAAAGACACAATTTTTAACACCCATTTAATCGAAGGAATGCGATTTCCTCTAGCTAATGGGAATATCCATGATGCAGTGATATAGTGTCAAATGTTAGGGCTCCTACCGTTTTTACAACAATCCTTTAACCTGAAACACTGCATCTTTTAATTAATAGTCTACAGGTACGCTCAGGACAATCATCAATCAAACTTTATTATGTGTAACCATACGAATATTGGAAAGGTGAACCCCCCTCCAAATCGAGTTGTTAGAGGTCATGTTGCCGGTAACTCTGACAGCGAGTATAAGCGTGAGTTGGCGATATGTGCATGCGACAGATGGATTCGGAAACACTTATCACTTAACTAGATGTAATAAAATAAAGTAAAACACATAAACAAACCATTGTGGAACGAAAACCTGAGCTGTCCGGGAGAACATGGTGATGGAAGTAGAGTTCTCCAAACCGAGGCTAACCCAAGGTGAAGGACAGAGAAGGGAGATAACTACGACAGGTGCCAGTTCCTATGGTTGCAATCTACAAAATAATATAGGCCTATCGTACGCAAACTGCTTGTGAATTAAAATAAACACCTAGACAATGGCATTGGCCCTCCCTTTAAAATTAGAGTAGTTGTTTTTGTGACAAATCAAATGTTCTGTACATTTAACTTAAATAATAACAAATTAATGGTAAATATACACTGTATGCTGAACTGAATGTAGAACCCGCCAAAATACAAAGGTACACAGATTTTATTCTCGATTTCACTTCTGACGAATTAAGGTTTTAAATCATTTGACAATCAGCTACATAAAAGAAAAACACATTTTAAACTACAAAATTTCATACTAGAAAGACGATTAGATAGAAATCTGCTAACTAAAAGATTTATAAAATGTATACGTTTCTGAATGTATGGTCAAAGGATTTTTGAGAATATTACGCACACTTTCCATGTCATTTATCAGAGACGTATACACTATGGCTTTATCTGTCTCTGCATTAATGAATTCTAAAATATCGCCATTTTAGCTCTATATATCTGTTGTCATTGTTATGTAATACTATAATCTTGAAGTCCTTGACGTCATTTTTCTGATCCTTTGACGGCATCACTGACACTGTCATATCAGTCTAAATATGGTATTCGTGTGATAATACACTCTTCATGACTTTTTAGAGTGAGTATGATATAATACCTACCCAAAAAAGTTATTTAAACTGAGGCAAAGACCCAAATCAATCTATCTATCTATACATCTAAATGGCTTTAATGCGGAGAGGTTAAACTATTCCATTTGGTAGGGATTGATGCTTTAAATGCCTCTATTCCTTGCACCCCGACTGTGATGTCGTTCAGGCAGTGGTTCCAATCTGTACCTGTTCGTACAAAGAATGAGTTTCTGTATTGTTCCGTGTTGCTGTTGGGTATTATGACTGTTCTGTTTTTTGTTCCTGATTTAATTTGGAATTGGCCTTGATGTCTCGCAGTCCTGGAATTTAGTATCTGCTAGGCATTGGTGGAATTTGCTCCTCCACGATTTTATGATAGAATGTTAATCTCTGTTATTTTCGTCTCGATGCTAGTGATGGAAGTTGTAGCTCTTCAAGTAGTTTTACATAAATCCCTCTTCCCTTGTTCTGTAGTCCCTCTGGATAAAACGCGCCACTCGCCGTTGAATACTTTCCAATTTATTAATGTTTGTCTTTATATATGGGTTCCAGATTATGGTTCCGTATTCCATGATGGGTCTGACAATGCATGCTTTCTGTCTTTCTACATGATCTGGAACAGTGTTGTAGATTACGTCGTAGGACGGCCTTAGATTACCTAAGTCCGTGGTCGTAGGAAGCCTAGGGCGGAATTAGATTACCTAAGTCTGTGGTCGTAGGAAGCCTAGGGCGGAATTAGATTACCTAAGTCCGTGGTCGTAGGAAGCCTAGGGCGAAATTAGATTACCTAAGTCCGTGGTCGTAGGAAGCCCAGGGCGGAATTAGATTACCTAGGTCCGTGGAAGCCAAGGGCGGAATCAGATTACCTAAGCCTGTTGTCGTAGGAAGCCTAGGTCAGCATTAGATTAGTCCGTGGTCGTAGGAAGCTTAGGTCGGCATTAGATTAGTCCGTGGTTGTAGGAAGCCTAGGACGGCATTAGATTACCTAGGTCCGTGGTCGTAGGAAGCCTAGAGCGAAATTAGATTACCTAAGCCTGGGGTCGTAGGAAGCCTAGAGCGAAATTAGATTACCTAAGCCTGGGGTCGTAGGAAGCCTAGGGTGGAATTAGATTAGTCCGTGGTCATAGGAAGCTTAGGACGGCATAAGATTAGTCCGTGGTCGTGGGAAGCCTAGGACGGAATTAGATTAGTCCGAGGTCATAGGAAGCTTAGGACGGCATAAGATTAGTCCGTGGTCGTGGGAAGCCTAGGACGGAATTAGATTAGTCCGAGGTCATAGGAAGCTTAGGACGGAATTAGATTAGTCCGAGGTCATAGGAAGCTTAGGACGGCATAAGATTAGTCCGTGGTCGTGGGAAGCCTAGGACGGAATTAGATTAGTCCGTGGTCGTAGGAAGCCTAGGTCAGCATTAGATTAGTCCGTGGTCGTAGGAAGCTTAGGACGGCATAAGATTAGTCCGTGGTCGTAGGAAGCCTAGGGCGGAATTAGATTAGTCCGTGGTCGTAGGAAGCCTAGGGCAGAACTGGCCTTTTTTTTGTAATGCCAGCTATATGTTCTTTCCATTTCATATCCCCTGATAATTCAGAGGCGTAGTAAACATTTTTCGGAGTGTATGCTTTCACATTGATCCACAAACATTTACATCAAAACCCATTGATCCACTAACATTTACATCAAAACCTATTGATCCACAAACATTAACATCAAAGACCACTAATCCACTAGCATTTACATCAAAACCCATTGATCCACTAATATTAACATCTAAACCCATTGATCCACTAATATTAACATCAAAACCCATTGATCCACTAACATTTACATCAAAACCCATTGATCCACTAACATTAACATCAAATATCACTAATCCACTAACATTTACATCAAAACCGATTGATCCACCAACATTAACATCAAAACCCATTGATCCACTAACATTTATATCTAAACCCATTGATCCACTAACATTTACATCAAAACCGATTGATGCACTAACATTAACATCAAAACCCATTGATCCACTTACATTAACATTTAAACCCATTGATCCACTAACATTAAATCAAAATCCATTGATCCACTAACATTTATATCTAAACCCATTGATACACTAACATTTACATCAAAACCCATTGATCCACTAACATTTACATCAAACCCAATTGATCCACAAACATTTACATCAAAACGCATTGATCCATTTACATTAACATTTAAACCCATAGATCCACTAACATTAAATCAAAATCCATTGATCCACTAATATTTACATCAAAACCCATTGATACACTAACATTAACATCAAAATCCATTGATCCACTAACATTTACATCAAAACCCATTGATACACTAACATTAACATCAAAACCCACTGATCCACTAATATTTACATCAAAACCCATTGATCCACTAACATTTACATCAAAACCCATTGATCTACTAATATTTACATCAAAACCCATTGACCCACTAACATTAACATCAAAACCCATTTATCCACTTACATTAACATCAAAACCCACTGATCCACTAATATTTACATCAAAACCTATTGATCCACTAACATTTACATCTAAACCCATTGATCCACTAATATTAACATCAAAACCCATTGACCCACTAACATTTACATCAAAACCCATTGACCCACTAACATTAACATCAAAACCCATTGTTCCACTTACATTAACATCAAAACCCATTTATCCACTTACATTAACATCAAAACCCACTGATCCACTAATATTTACATCAAAGCCCATTGATCCACTAACATTTACATCAAAACCCATTGATCCACTTACATTAACATCAAAACCCATTTATCTACTAACTGCATTTATCAACTGGAAGTTTCATCGTCATTATTAACAGGACGATGGATGTTCTTGAGTAGTCATATATTATGATTATAAAGAATGGACATGTCCTCAGATACATGCCAATGACACAACCAGTGGCGTAGCAAACATTTTTCGGATAGTATGCTTTCACAGCTGGAAATGAATTCTACTTAGCCCCAAACGTAACCTCCCGTGTTCTTGGAACTCATTTATGTCCGATTATAAATTTTTGTATTTCTTTCCCTTTTTTTGATTGTTGCGGACGATCCTTATTACCACAGAATTAGATTATCTAAGTCCGTGTTATTACTCATAAAAAATATATATATATATATGTTATCTTTTTTTTTGAAAATTTTAGTGTATGCTCGAGCATACAAGCATACATATATGCTACGCCACTGTAATTGTAATCCTAGGTATGGATTTGTCTGTAGGTGATCTAAGTCGTGTCTATTAATTTTATTTATTATACCTCTACTTTATTTACTCTATATAAAAGTAATTGGTTAAATCGAATATATCCCCACTTTTGCCTGACTGTGTTTTAGTCCTGTGTGTTAGTCTGGGAACTAAAGCACACCTACACTCGAGTGTTTCCGCCGAGCCAATCAGGCGAGAGGTGGGCGGAGCTTGTTACCGAACTCGGAAGCAAGCACGAGGTGGGCGGAGCTTGTTACCGAACTTGGAAGCAAGCGCGAGGTGGGCGGAACTTGCTACCGAACTCGGAAGCATTTGGCTCCATTGCCATCAAAAGGGTAGTTGGGGCGTGAAGCTATACAGCTTATTATGGTTTACAAATATTTTCTAGTTAAAACCATCTCTCCAGTGTGTATCGGTATAATAATACGGTTAAAGTATGGGGTTGAGGGTTATAGCTAGTTTCTGGTGTCCCTTGACCATGCCCATTTCCCACGGCTTTACCTCGGGAAATAGACCTGGTCTCGGGACACCAGAAACTTGCTATATCCCTCAACCCCATACTTTAACTGTATAATAAGCTGGTACGTGTTCTGCTTTTTCTTCTTAATACAAAGAATGAAACATTTTTTTGGCATTAACCCCCCCCTAGGGAAAAGTAGGGGTCCTAGTACTATTCCTTGTGGGACTCCTGAAGTTCTCCTCCTATGGCTACCCGCATCTTTCTGCGAGTTAGGAAGGTTTTTAGCCATTGATGTAGAGGTCCTCTGATCCCATATATAACTCCAGCTTGTGAAGCAGTCTGTCATGGTGAACTGTGTCAAAGGCCTTGCAGAAGTCAAGTATTGCAATTTCCACTCGGTAGGTCGTCAGCGGTGGCATACCTATATAACCGCCAAACCAATGTCAATCGTACGACTTACATTAGAGTATGTCACTAATAGCACTCCTCAGAGTATAGTACAATACACTATTTAATACTAACAGTATTGACTGACTAAATGAGGGATGCTGGACCATGGACGAAAGGTGATTTGAAAAGCCCACCATCTGATCTGATGATGCTGGGCTAAATAGAGAAACAATAACACAAAATAAGTAACATATTTATTGCATACTTTCATCTCACCCTATAGCCAGTGAATTCGACAAGTGTTGTCTGCATTGGTATTAATTTATATAAAATCTATTGAACTTTAGTTACCAAAGATATTTTTTTTTCAACTCACTAACTCTTATGATAATTTAGCAGAACAAAAAAAATGCCAAAATTCTTATCATAACACCTTATGCTTTTCAAAGAAAGGTTATTCCATTAAAGTTAAATGCATAATTTAGGTTAAAGGCGAAAATAATTCCTTTGGTTTCCAAAATTTCTAAGGTGTTAAACAAGAGTTGTAAAATACAAATGATTTATAAAGCATATGATTAAAACCCAGTACAGCAAAATCCCACTCATTACCATCAGCAAGAAGAGTTAGGGTAATTTATGATATAAAACTGTTTATGAAACGTCTTCTACAGTAAACATTGCTAAAATGGGACCATCACATGCCACACCTATGGAAACACTGTTGAGATTTCTTCTCTTCCTTAAATACTACGGCAAGTACATGTGATTATAAGGACCATTGAACTAAACTGGAAATGGGAGAGTTTGTTAGAGAAAAAGATTATATTGTGCACGTGTACATACAGATAACAGGTGTATCACAGAAATATTCTATTTTTACTAAAATATTTAACAAAAAAAAAAAAAATGCACCAAGAAACACCCATTACAAATTATAACAAGACTTGGTGGTGAATACCTGTTTTATGATCATATACTTCTTATCAATTACGAAATAATGTTTACCTTGTATATTGCATGATGATGTGCTTTTTGTTTTCTCCCTTGCAAAGATTCAAAATTATTTCAGCAGTATCGATGCTCACTTTCAAATTTGTCATCAATTAACAAATCGGATACAAGGTGCGATGTATAACAGATAATTTAGCATTGAAATCTTCTGAAAGGGAGGTAAATGTGACTTTTCACTGTAAGGTTGCATACACATACACCCTTAAAGTATTTTTTAATTTTTATTTGCATTAGTTTTCACTTGATTTTATTATATCTTCATCAGTTTGGATAGACAGCATTTACTTTATAAGTCTGTCAAAAAGAAGATAAACAATGTGGTTCAGGGTTGATAAATACCACTGTATCGGACAAAATTTAAAATGTAGAATGCACACATTGACCTTACAGAGGATTTACAGCCAAACACAGTACAACATCTGAGGTTTGACATAAACAAAAGGATTCAAGGAAAAAAATACAATACATGCTGGTATATTATATCTACTTTATCATTCTTCAGGAAGACATATTTAATGCTTTCAAAACCAATTTAATGTAAGCTGACACTGAAGTTACAAATAATTCATCCATAAATATTTTGTTTTTGTAAATTCCAATCTTCCCTCAGAGCACGACACCCCATCTCTCACTGCAAAACATCACATGACTTCATTATTACATCACGAAGGAAGTGTTACAACTTTCATTCATTTAAAATGTCTTATAAAAGTACAGGAAAACAGTCTTACTGGTAACATAAATGGTATATCAGGAACACCATTCCTTAGGGACAAATATACCGTTCTGATTAATAGTTAATTCTAATTATTTAATAATTATTTGAAAACTACGGTGCACAGTTGGTGTTTTGAACGGTATCATCATTCAATACATAAACAGTGTTAATACCATCACCACTACGGTATGTATCTATCATCAGAAACTTTAATCATCTGCTAGTGTTAAACAGTGAAATACATGTATCTCAAAATAGCATACTGGGTCCCACTGAAAGTCCTATACATGTATCTCAAAAAAGCATACTGGGTGCCACTGTAAGTCCTAAAAATACATTTCTTCTCCTGCCTCATCTTGAAAGACATATTTTTAATAAGGTCTCTTTATATATTAAATATTTAAATTCTAAGGATTCTTCAGTACGTTTTTGGTATATATTCTAGAAGCCATAAACATTTTGTCGATGAAGATGTGACTACGTACATCTGGAGACAAAAATATAAAATCATGGCAACACAGATAAACACAGATGGATTTCTCTGCCCAGCACAACCTATCCTTATACACTACTGACCACACCTTAAATATTGTTACATTATATACATAGCTGTAAGGACCAGTAAGAGGCCCGAAACAACTGGAATTGTTGACACGCAGTAAAAAAAAAAAACAATATCAAACCACATGACTTGTAACACACATTAAATTTCCTGTGATCAGCACAGGGGCCCCTGTCCTTATAAAACAACATGAACTCTATATGCAGGAAAAGCTTGCTTGTTTAACAAGAGTCTAGGCTTAATATTTTAATATGTACTACATATGTACTGAAATACATCACATTTACTGTATGTCAGTCATTTTCATTGAATTCACGGTGTACATTTTTGCAATATTAATTAAGGATCCCTGTCCCACTGCACTGTGTTTTTTTGTATACACAATAACCTCCCCTTATCTTCCATTTGGATATAACTGTTTAACTGTAGCATAGTTGGACCACAACACTTCCGTTGCCTCGGTAGCTCAATCAGTTAGAGCTTTAGTAAATCAATCTGAAAGTCAAGGGTTCGAATCTCTGTCTAATCTAACCCCCTCTGAATTTTTACACTCAGAATATATTTTGTGTATTTCCTCCTTATTATTTTTCATTAAAGTCCCTCAAGGTATAGTTTTCTTTTCAGAAATGATTTATCCAAGGTGTGGTCAGGCCGGAAAAGTCTGTTTCCAACACATAGTTACAATTTTTTGCAGTGGTACTGGGATCCTTAAGCTATGTATCACTACCAACACCAGTTAACTTTACCAAAGGGAAACTAGCTAACACCTGTTATACCAATGACGGGATCATCACAAATTGTTCATGATTAGGGTCAATATACTACAAAACAGTCACTAAATACCTTCCAGTCTAACTCACAAATAACAGTCATTGGTATGGCATACTTATTGGGTTTGTGCAACGACAACATTTGTTTCATTGAAAATGTACAAAATGATTTCATCAGTGCGCTAAGTAATGAACAGTAGTTAACCCATTCACCCCTAAAGCCACATTTGAACCTTACCAAATCAAAGACTGGGCAGGTCCATTTTAAATATGTAGGGGTAAATTAGCTAAAGGTATAACAAAACAGGAATACCAGCTCCCACTTCCACACAACTCGTTAACACAGAAATCATAATTAAATGCATTTCATTCAGTCTTGTTAGGGTTAAACAACAATGATATGTACATATGACAATTTTATTGCAACAAATACAAAAACTCAAACCAAAGTCCCCTCTAAAAGTAAAAATATAATCATACCGCCAGGCTTATTTATATTGTACAGTCGGATTGGGTCGGTGTCCAACATGTGATTTAGAGGTAAATAAGGACAGAAACAAAATCTTTGTGAGCACATGTACACAGTATAAATAATGGTTTAAAATAAATAGGTCAAGATATATATAGATAACACACAAAAAGATAAGGTATAGCAAAAGAACTAAAGCAGCTCAAACCCACTCACAAGGATATACTCTTTGCACACTTTTCTTTAAACTAACTTATTGTTCAGAAATATTCGAGCACTTTTTCCAACAATACTACCCATCAATAAAGTTCCAGTGTTGCCTGTGAACCTGAACAGCTTCACTGTCGTATAGAAAATAAAAAGCCATGCAAACCATTTTGATAAAAAAAAAATTGGTACAAAACTTTGAGCAAATAAACAACTGACTAATTAAGAGGAAAGATTATTAAATACACTAAATCTGTGTCTGTTTAATCATTATCAGACTGTTTCATACTGCAAACATGTGGGTACTCCATGACTGCATCCTCAAAATTAGATTATGAGGAGGAAACGGTTTTAAATTGATTTTGTTTAACAGCTGTCATTTAAGGATGTGAGGTTGATGCAATGGAAGTTGATATATATTTAGTTGACATACAGTATATAATATTTATACAGTATATAATATTTAAACAGTATATAATATTTATACAGTATATAATATTTAAACAGTATAATATTTATACAGTAAATAATATTTAAACAGTATATAATATTTATACAGTATATACTATTTATACAGTATATAATATTTAAACAGTATATAATATTTATACAGTATATAATATTTATACAGTATATAATATTTAAACAGTATATAATATTTATACAGTATATAATATTTATACAGTATATACTATTTATACAGTATATAATATTTAAACAGATAGGACTTAACATTTTACATGTATGTGTATGTTTTCTCAAAAGCAAAACGATAAGCATATAAGAAAGCCAAAGGCCTGGGGTTAAGCATACTTCTTTAATCTTTTCCTGTAGAAGAACCATGGACTGAGGACTGATAGTTTGATGACACCAGGAGATATACCCAACAACACATGGCATCAGCCTACATCCAGAGCTGAGGCAATGTAAGATTGAAACTAGAAAGGCATGAGATCAAAATCAGAAACAAGACACATTAAACAGAAAACAACAACAACACACACAAAAGTTGATCAAATAATGGGACATATATATGTCCCTTGTACAACATGGAAGTAAAGCGATTATGTGTCAAAATGAACATACATGTATCTTAATCCTTGAGAATTTAACTCACAAGTTGTATTCAGGTCTCACACAACTAAAGCAGCCGTGGCTAGACCACTATGAGGTCAAGGTCACAAATAAAAGGAAACTGCATAAAATCACATGTTATGTCATGTTGTCCAGGATTTGAATGGCACAAAAGTCATTTCAAGAATGTTTAGTAAAGGAATTAATCGTTTTACCATTTAAGCTGGTGTCACCTAAACAACCATTGATTACATCTATCAATGACTGTTTAAGTATCATGTATCAAAATTTAGAAACCATTATTCTGTCCAATATTTTCAGGCTCCTGCCATTATATAAGCACAAAATGGTTTTCTAGATTTTAGTATGGGCTTGATCAGTAAGAAACACATTTTAGTTGTGGGAGGCAGTCCCTGGATTATTATGGCCAACTTCATATAGCACATATTTGTACATATTTGGTAAAACATAAGAAATGGTATACAGCTACATATAATTCTGTGGTTACAAAGGTCAAATTGGACTGTAAACAGTTCAAACAAAACATGAATTTACAAACCCACAACAAAATATTAAACAGAAATGAAACAGTCTGTGGATCACAGATAGCTGGTTTGTTCTGAAGAACAACACTTCCCGTCCACAACCACTGTACCCTTTTAACAGAGAACTGAAATAGTGTGCCTTACCTGTGTTAACCCCAGAGGGGCCTGTCCCTAGAAAGAGCCTCAAAGGAGCACTGTACTTCTGATATTTATACTGACCGCAGTTTGTTTACATATAAGACCTTCACAACTTCAGATAAAATCTGCTAACTAAGGTGTGGTCTTAATGACAAACATGGGTTTGTCAGTGATAACAATAGGGTACAGTAAGACTGCAATAGCATTACCACATACAAGACATTTCTTGAATAAAAATAAATGATTGCCCAGTTTGAATATCAGTTCACAGCCTTGCTATTGGAATTCTGTTCTTTTACATAGATATTTTCGGTACGAAATAATAAAACCTGCTTTTCTAAAACTCCTCCATTCAAAATTATATATTATGCAGTGACCTTCCAACCTGATCTGTGACTGGGTGAGTATTGTTTTACACAACACCAATGAGACAAAGAACTGTTCCTGAAGATGTACCTGATAAAAAGCTTGTAATGAGATATGTGCTTCGACCTTTAGCAAATAAGCTTTAATGAGATGAAGATTTGACAATAAAATGGTCGGTTTGGGTACAGTGGTAATGGACGCAACTGTCCGAAACTCATTTCCGGTTACCGCCCCCGCCTATCACATGATTACTGGAATGTAGCTCCTCTTGGAAATAGCGAAGTCTATCACAGTCCTTCTTCAGTCAATCATGTCCTACAAGGCAAATGTTATCAATGTTTAGTCAAAGCAGTGTTGTCTACCACATAAATGTTTATACATGTGTTATATAGAACTAAAAGAATATCCAGAGTTAAAATAATCAAATATCCATGGGACTCATTAAAGATCATATCCATGGGACTCATTAAAGATCATATCCATGGGACTCATTAAAGATCATATCCATGGGACTCATTAAAGATCATATCCATGGGAAACATTAAAGATCATATCCATGGGAAACATTAAAGATCATAAGTTCTTAATTACAACTTTGCATAACATTTTCTCTCTCTTGTGATTCTGTAATTGACATACTTTAAAAGTGGAAATTTACATGTGTTGAAGTGTTTGTGTTGTAACTCTTTAAACTGATTGTTGTTCGGAAATTTTTGTGTTTACAATGGTTCCGAAACCTACAGATCTTCACATGTTTACAGTTTGATATTTTTGCCCTAATTTACTTTGACTCAAAAACTGTGAGCAATTCCAGATCTTGAAAATTTCCACTTATACAGTTCACAAGAAAATAAGTACTGCTTCACACTTATTGTACTGTTTTCAGTTTAGACATGATTTCAAATTAAATCGGTGAATAAATACATTTGAATGTACAATACAATTTAACTTAGGTAACTATAAATGAGAAAATTCCATTATCAATAAAACATAGAAACCATAGACTTCGCTACAAAAAGCTTCTCTATACTAAACTAATAAAGTTCTATGAGCCGTCTACTTACTACATCTGAGTCGTCATGGTAAGATTTGAATACATGGCCGTTCCCGGTTTTGGAGTTAGAGGAACCACTATGTGACTTTTTCTTGGTAACATCTTTCTTCACTGCTGGGGAATTCAACTCCTTTTAAAAAAGAACATTTTCAATTCATCATATGATTTGATTGTCCCTACTTTCCATCAAGCACAAGAACTATAAACACAAAATCTGAATAAAAGGAAATGTTTAACAGAAGATTAATGGAAATTGTTATTACCAATGATTCATGATTGTATCTCATAGCATAGTTTAAATAATGAAAATCTAGAATTTCAACCATGTGTAAAATCTTGTCATTTATATTAGTCTTTTTGAATCATTTATGGTTTCCAATATATCAATTTCCACACTTTTTACTTCAATGAACTAAACAGGCTGACTTTTCCCTAGACACAGTAAATTTAATTCAAAAAGGTTTCAAAGATCCCCTATGTAAGACAAGTAAAGATCCCATATGTAAAACAAGTAAAGATCCTCTATGTAAGACAAGTAAAGATCCCCTATGTAAGACAAGTAAAGATCCTCTATGTAATACAAGTTAAGATCCTCTATGTAAGACAAGTAAAGATCCCCTATGTAAGACATGTAAAGATCCCCTATGTAAGACAAGTAAAGATCCTCTATGTAATACAAGTTAAGATCCTCTATGTAAGACAAGTAAAGATCCCCTATGTAAGACAAGTAAAGATCCTCTATGTAATACAAGTTAAGATCCTCTATGTAAGACAAGTAAAGATCCCCTATGTAAGACATGTAAAGATCCCCTATGTAAGACAAGTAAAGATCCTCTATGTAAGACAAGCAAAGATCCCCTATGTAAGACAAGTAAAGATCCTCTATGTAAGACATGTAAAGATCCCCTATGTAAGACAAGTAAAGATCCTCTATGTAATACAAGTTAAGATCCTCTATGTAAGACAAGTAAAGATCCTCTATGAAAGACAAGTAAAGATCCCCTATGTAAGACATGTAAAGATCCCCTATGTAAGACAAGTAAAGATCCTCTATGTAATACAAGTTAAGATCCTCTATGTAAGACAAGTAAAGATCCTCTATGTATGACAAGTTAAGATCCTCTATGTAAGACAAGTAAAGATCCTCTATGTATGACAAGTTAAGATCCTCTATGTAAGACAAGTAAAGATCCTCTATGTATGACAAGTTAAGATCCTCTATGTAAGACAAGTAAAGATCCTCTATGAAAGACAAGTAAAGATCCCCTATGTAAGACATGTAAAGATCCCCTATGTAAGACAAGTAAAGATCCTCTATGTAATACAAGTTAAGATCCTCTATGTAAGACAAGTAAAGATCCTCTATGTATGACAAGTTAAGATCCTCTATGTAAGACAAGTAAAGATCCCCTATGTAAGACAAGTAAAGATCCTCTATGTAAGACATGTAAAGATCCCCTATGTAAGACAAGTAAAGATCCTCTATGTAAGACAAGTAAATATCCTTTATGTACGACTAGTAAATATCCTTTATGTACGACTAGTAAATATCCTCGATCTATCACTACTGTATGCAAAGATTTAATTAAATTTCTAATATTTCTCCTGTTTCTCCTATGAAATCAATGACTGACCAGACTTGTGTTTTTTGGAGTTCCAACCAAAAGAAGTTAAAGGCAACGCAATCAACGATGTTATATGTGTTGAATCTGTACCTCATCATCGGAAGAGTCTTGGTAGACAACAGACTTGGGAGATAGGGCATTTTCAAACTCGTTGTCATAATCTCCTGCCTCAGACTGGTTCAGCAGGGAGTAACGGTATACCACACGGCTGTAAACACACAACAGACATTCCAATGAAACAAACAACTTGATATTAAATACATTTACTGTATACATACTTGTTGAAGCATACTTGAATTGAAGTGCATTATCAAATTCTTACATTTAGCGGTAGATGCATTGACAAATTGGCACCCAAAAAATGTATAGTGTAATAGAAAACAACATGCTAAAACTTTAATAAGCACAACATATTTAAGCGTCATATTTTAAATGCAAAAAGTACTAAAATAAGATAACTACTAACATACTGCATAGGTTTGTTTCTCCTTTCAACAAGTATGTCCTTAATAAAATTGGAGCGGCAAATATGAACTTGCTAAATTTCCTCGTTTCTTTTACTAAGCCAATATTCCAATAACATGTCAGACAAGTGAGGCTATTATTTGCACTAAATATCAAAGCATCATGATTAACAATGTTCCACTCTTTATATTTAAATGTATAGGACAATAAATACCCTTTATTTTATAGAAATTATGAAACAAGTTATATCAACTTATATCAATCACTCTTGTTGGCCCTGATGTTAGTGTGCAGGGGTCTTCATGTGGAAGAAAACATGAGTTACCGTAGATGGCCCACCTGGTGACGCCATACCTTTTCATGTCCATGTGAGGAATCAAACCCTGGCCGACTTGGTGTAATGCGAGTGCACTTTCCGCTGCACCACCCAACCAACCCACAATACTTTCTGTTTACAACTGATCCAGAGTTTGTGTCCCTTGTTTACGAACAATCAAGAATTTTTATAGGACAATACTTACTGTTTTCGAATCATCCAGAGTTTGTATCCGAAGTAGATAGACATAAGAACCACGATAAGGATGACCATCAAAACAATGGCCGCCACCACCGTTCCATTGGTGCCCTTCTTTTCCTGAAATAATGAGCAACATCAGCTAAATGTACTGGTCCAGAAACCATTGGTGATCCTACTGTTACTGTTAAAACTAGGAATTCAAATTTTACTGAATTTCAAAGGAATCCTATTAAATAAAGGTTGTATTGATTTTTCTCCTGGTCATTTAGGTGCAGCACTATATGACTATAATCTTGAAATTTATGTGTAGGATATTATTTATACACTGTACATGCAATTATTATTTAACACAAATTTCAACTAGAGTTTACTTGAATTTCCCTTTAAACTGAAGAAAACTGATAGAACATACACAGATACCCAGTCAGTGACAACAGTCTTATTGGAGTTATAGCGTCTGTCTATGTTAATTAACTTGACCAGAAGACAGCTTTTACTGGAGTTAAAGCGTCTGTCTATGTTAATTAACTTGACCAGAAGACAGCTTTTACTGGAGTTATAGCATCTGTCTATGTTAATTAACTTGACCAGAACAGAGCTTTTACTGGAGTTATAACGTCTGTCTGAGACAACTAACTTGACCAGAAGACAGCTTTTACTGGAGTTATAACGTCTGTCTGAGACAACTAACTTGACCAGAAGACAGCTTTTACTGGAGTTATAA